GAGTGACCTGCTTTAAATATCAGTTATTTTTAATAAAGTGACAGTTGAGTGACCTGCTTTAAATATCAGTCTTTTTGAATAAAGTGGCAGTTGACTCTCAGACTGTGTTTCGTCTGGTTCTTGGGAGGATTTGGGAATATTGCCTGCTTCCAGCTTTGTACTTGGTTATTGCATTCTACCAGCAGAGATCCTGGGATTATAAAATTGCAGCTCCGCAACACTATGTTTTATACATATTTTTGCTTGTGGTGTGCTGGGGAATTCTGGGAAGAGCTTTGATGTGCCTTGGTTGAGGAGCACTGCTCTAGAGGGTTAACAGTTGAAATTTTAACAGCAAATTTTAGGCAATTTTGCCTTTTCCCCAAGTCAATATTGTTTTCAGTTTAGTTATTCTGGTTTAAAATCTGAAAATTAAATTTATACTGCAAATTCACAATAATTCTTATTTTAGTGAATAACAGTATTTGGTGCAATTAGCCCTTCACAGATCATGTTAAATTTTGATATTTCCTGCCTATTATATATATCTGTTCTCCCTCATATCTTCCTGCCTTTAGGGGTGTTCTGGAGTAGGCTTGTTATGATCAAAGAAATGTATCCCAGCTGTACTTGTGGAACACAGCAAATACGCCATGTTCCTGTACAAGAGTAACCTGTTCCAAAATGTTTGATTCTTGTTCCTTCCCAATTAAAGACGTTTAGAGATTGACGTCTTTCTGTACTCATTGTAAAATAAAACCTACCAATCAATGCTTACCAGTATGTAAACGCTAAACTTTCATCAACATCAAACCTCTGTCATAGAGCAATTTTGGCAAAGAAACATGTTTGCGGTCTGTTAGTCTTCCTCCCCAAGGGCGTTTTAAATCTGCAAAGAGTTAAATTCTTCTTTAGTCCCGACCGCAAATGGAAAACTACAAGATATTTACATTAACTGTATCTTCCCATAGATTCACACCCTAAAGGAGAATGAATTTATAGGGAAACAAAATCACATTTTTATTTTATTTTTGGAAATTATGTTTTTGGAGGTTGTGGAACTGCTGGTTTAAAGGGACACTCTAATACACATTTATTTGACCACCCTTCCCTATTCTTCTGCTCCCTGTGGGATCTGCCTGGCACCCAAAATTTGGCCCGTCTGCAAAAGCTCAGATCAAGAGTAAGTTCCACGTCTGCATTTTCTATATCTCAGGACTGTAACATTGTAAAAGACGATAAATGCTGTACCGCTAAAGTCTTATATGTTCTCACTGACATCAGTCATTACACCTTATACAATTTTTAGTCGTAGAGGCACTTCTGTGGTTCTAATTGCTTCATTGGTACCTTCCTTGTTGTATGCCTGCCTCATGGTTTTAGCTTAGCGAGGTTTTCGTGTGGTTTTGAATTCTGTTGTCCTAGTTCTCTGACATCATTGTCCGTTGGTCTCTTGACCCTGGCTAGTTTTCATTATCTGTATGAAGGTCACGTTTTCTTTTCCTCTTTGAAGGCATTTTGATAAAGTTGATCTGTCATGGACAAACAACGTGAGTAACAGGATTACGTGGATTATATTAAGTCTATAAACTGTGCAGCAAATATACAACTTATAACATATACTTATCTTAATGGGGGTTAGATATAAAAGTGTCAGAATCACTATAAATGCATCTATTTTATGTACATTCTTATTTTATCCTTGGTAGCATATCTGCTCCAAATAACACCCTTTCATACTCTACCACGATTTATTGTCATTTTCTTTTTGCCAAGTTTTAGTTCAGAACTTTGTTACGGTCAAAATAGAAAAGAGTGCAAAACAGCAGCTTTCATACACCCAACAATATTTATCACCACTGTCACAGCGAGAGGTTTTTATTATTTATTTATAAAATATTTTACCAGGAAGGATACATTGATGTTTGTCTTGTTTTATGAATTCTGCAATCTGCTTCTCAGTGGCCTTACGCGTTCCCAACTTGCCCTGTTAGAGTCTATAATGGATTCTGTGGAAAAGCTCGTCTTCATGTCCTCCCGCACCTGCTACCTCTCTCCTACCTCTGGCAGTCACCAAAAAATGTCTTCCTGTAAGATATAGAGCTGAATTTAAAATTCTGGTACTTGCTAACAAATCTTTGTATATCAATGATCCTACCTATCCTCTCTTATATACAAGTATATGCCATCAAAGTCCCTGCACTCTGTCGAAGACCTGCGTCTGTTCTCTGTTCGTACTCACACCTCTGATGCTCACCTTAAAGACTTCCCCAGGGCTGCACCATTCATGTGGAATTCCCTTCCCTGTTCCATTGTACTCTCACAAAGTCTCTATTCCTTCAAAATATCATTGAAAATTCACTTCTTCAGGAAAGCACATCAATTAAACTGTTAAGACCATTCCATCCCCATTCCTTGGTAACCCATCTTGCTTCCTTTCCTGCAGCTGTCATCCTGGGAGGGTAGCGCAGTGCAGTATATCATGGCGCCTCGGTTTTTCATGACCCTGCATTCCTGACTTGATACAATTCTTCTTGGGGCCCACGCGTCCCTTTCGCTTTTGTTTAATGCAGACCTGCGCATCTCAATCTACTGTTTCCATGTTTTACGTTTTTGGAGACCTGTGTGTCCCATCTCCTTTATAATTATTTATTTTGTCTTTAGGAAAACTAGTCAATAAAAGAAATTCACAAAAAAACATTTAAAAATTGTGTCACTATAACCCACTCTCTCATGCATGTAACTCACCACTCTCCCTCTGTTACTGTGCATGTAAACTCACTGAGCAGGCCCTCAATCCCTCTGTTACTGTGTCACTATACCCCACTCCCTCTAACATGTAAACTCACTGAGCAGGCCCTCAACCCCTCTGTTACTGTGTCACTATAACTCACTCCCTCTAGCATGTAAACTCACTGAGCAGGCCCTCAATCCCTCTGTTACTGTGTCACTATACCCCACTCCCTCTAACATGTAAACTCACTGAGCAGGCCCTCAATCCCTCTGTTACTGTGTCACTATACCCCACTCCCTCTAACATGTAAACTCACTGAGCAGGCCCTCAATCCCTCTGTTACTGTGTCACTATACCCCACTCCCTCTAACATGTAAACTCACTGAGCAGGGCCCTCAATCCCTCTGTTACTGTGTCACTATACCCCACTCCCTCTAACATGTAAACTCACTGAGCAGGCCCTCAATCCCTCTGTTACTGTGTCACTATACCCCACTCCCTCTACATGTAAACTCACTGAGCAGGGCCCTCAATCCCTCTGTTACTGTGTCACTATACCCCACTCCCTCTAACATGTAAACTCACTGAGCAGGCCCTCAATCCCTCTGTTACTGTGTCACTATACCCCACTCCCTCTAACATGTAAACTCACTGAGCAGGCCCTCAATCCCTCTGTTACTGTGTCACTATACCCCACTCCCTCTAACATGTAAACTCACTGAGCAGGGCCCTCAATCCCTCTGTTACTGTGTCACTATACCCCACTCCCTCTAACATGTAAACTCACTGAGCAGGCCCTCAATCCCTCTGTTACTGTGTCACTATACCCCACTCCCTCTAACATGTAAACTCACTGAGCAGGGCCCTCAATCCCTCTGTTACTGTGTCACTATACCCCACTCCCTCTAACATGTAAACTCACTGAGCAGGGCCCTCAATCCCTCTGTTACTGTGTCACTATACCCCACTCCCTCTAACATGTAAACTCACTGAGCAGGCCCTCAATCCCTCTGTTACTGTGTCACTATACCCCACTCCCTCTAACATGTAAACTCACTGAGCAGGGCCCTCAATCCCTCTGTTACTGTGTCACTATACCCCACTCCCTCTAACATGTAAACTCACTGAGCAGGCCCTCAATCCCTCTGTTACTGTGTCACTATACCCCACTCCCTCTAACATGTAAACTCACTGAGCGGGCCCTCAATCCCTCTGTTACTGTGTCACTATACCCCACTCCCTCTAACATGTAAACTCACTGAGCAGGGCCCTCAATCCCTCTGTTACTGTGTCACTATACCCCACTCCCTCTAGCATGTAAGCTCACTGAGCAGGCCCTCAATCGCTCTGTTACTGTGCCACTATACCCCACTCCCTCTAACATTTAAGCTCATTGAGCAAGCCCTCAATCCCTCTGTTACTGTCACTATACCCCACTCCCTCTAACATGTAAACTCACTGAGCAGGCCCTCAATCCCTCTGTTACTGTGCCTCCAATTTGCTGTGTTACAAATACCTGTCTGTTAGTCCACCCATTGTACAGCGCTGCAGAATTTGTTGGTGCTCTATAAATAATAATCATAATAACAGGTGCAAAATGCCCCTTTAAAACTACTACAAGTATTTTAAAAAGTAATCACCTTACTTTTGCATATAACCCAAAACAACTTATTTTGTCCAAAATAGACATTTTAAAAAAAGTTTACAAACTTTAAAGCAGGTTTAGTGTGGATTGTGCTGCATTAAAACCTAACTTTTTTTTTTTTTTTTAAACTAGGCTTACAGAGAGTACAGTATTGCTATGTATGTTTTAGTCAGGGGCAGTTTCAGAAGGCTTGTTATTCCAAACATCTGTTAATCCAATAAAAAGTATTTAAGATTCTGCAACATTCCATTATCTTGTCTGTGTCTGCCTATTACAACTATACGAAAACACACAATGGCCTGCTGTGGAATCTTGTCGATCACTGTAGGGTTCACTGGCTTTATATATAGTTCTGCTATCGGTATACCGACAGATGACTACGAGCTGTTACAATGCATTCAACAGGAGGTTGTCACATTCCACATTCGATTGCCAACATTCTATGCCTGCCGGGAGGTGTAGTTTACGTGTCTTCGCACAACATGTCGGGACTTGTAGTTTCTCTTGGTTACTAGTTGCTTTGGATAGCAACGATCTGAAAGAACCTTGTAAAATACAACTCCCAGAATGACTTGCGTTTGCCCCACCTGTATGAGGCCAGGGATACCTGCCTGTGTCTTGGAATTTGGGGCGTGGAGAGAGGGGTGAGGGAAAGTGAGGGGAACACTGCTGGGAGAGAAGAGAAAGTGCCAGGGTAAGAGAGGGAGAGGAAAATAAAGAAAGAAGATCTGGATAAGAGGGAGATATGGGGGTAGTTTGAGGGAAGAGGAGAATCACTTGCAGAAATAGACTATTTTTAGGGGAGTTAAGAGGGAAAGTTGGTAAAAGAAAGAAGAAAGTTATAAAAAAACAACCCACCCTAAAGTCAGGAGGAGTGAACAAAGAGAGGGGAATAGGAGAAGAGGTTGGGATTAACTTTCTGTGTTTATAGAATAATAGCGTGAAAATAAAGACAGAAGAAAGAAAGAGTGTGAAAGAATCCAGGAAGGAGAGAGAGGAGGAACGCCCAGTGAATGGAGGCACACTGCCATACTCTGCATTGATTCAACAAGGTGAGGCTGGACTCTCAGACACCTGGCATGAGAGGGGTTAAATTATTAAATACTGCTTAGCATGTTAATTGGCAAGACTTGGCCAATTGCTCTGCATGATGCTCTGCAGGGTGAGAGGGGCTAGAGGGAATGATGTTCTGCATGGTGAGAGGGGCTACAGGGAATGATGCTCTGCAGGGTGAGAAGGGCTACGGGGAATGACGCTCTGCAGGGTGAGAGTTGTTATAGGAATGATGCTCTGCAGAGTGAGGGGTTAGAGGGAATGATGTTCTGCATGGTGAGAGAGGCTACAGGGAATGATGCTAGGCAGGGTGAGAGGGGCTACAGGGAATGATGCTCTGCAGGGTGAGAGGGGTTACATGGAATGATGCTCTGCAGGGTGAGAGGGGTTATAGGGAATGATGCTCTGCAGGGTGAGAGGGGCTACAGGGAATGATGCTCTGCAGGGTGAGAGGGGCTACAGGGAAGGATGCTGCAGGGTGAGAGGGGCTACAGGGAAGGATGCTAGGCAGGGTGAAAGGGGCTACAGGGAAGGATGCTAGGCAGGGTGAAAGGGGCTACAGGGAATGATGCTAGGAAGGGTGAAAGGAGCTACAGGGAACGATGCTCTGCAGGGTGAGAGGGGCTACAGAGAATGATGCTCTGCAGGGTGAGAGGGGCTACAGGGAATGATGCTCTGCAGGGTGAGAGGGGCTACAGGGACTGATGCTCTGCAGAGTGAGAGGGGCTACAGGGACTGATGCTCTGCAGGGTGAGTGGGGCTACAGGGAATGATGCTCTTCAGGGTGAGAGGGGCTAGAGGGAATGATGCTCCACAGGGTGAGAGGGGTTAGAGGGAATGAAGCTAGGCAGGGTGAAAGGGGTTAGAGGGAATGATGCTCTGCAGGGTGAGAGGGGCTACAGGGAAGGATGCTCTGCAGGGTGAGAGGGGCTACAGGGAAGGATGCTCTGCAGGGTGAGAGGGAATAAAGCTAGGCAGGGTGAGAGGGGTTAGAGGGAATGATGCTAGGCAGGGTGAGAGGGGTTACATGGAATGATGCTCTTCAGGGTGAGAGGGGTTAGAGGGAATGATGTTCTGCAGGGTGAGAGGGGTTACATGGAATGATGCTCTTCAGGGTGAGAGGGGTTACATGGAATGATGTTCTGCAGGGTGAGAGGGGTTAGAGGGAATGATGTTCTGCAGGGTGAGAGGGGTTACATGGAATGATGTTCTGCAGGGTGAGAGGGGTTAGAGGGAATGATGCTCTGCAGGGTGAGAGGGGTTAGAGGGAATGATGCTCTGCAGGGTGAGAGGGGTTAGAGGGAATGATGCCTTCTATGGAGAATGCTGCTCCGTAATAGAGGGGGCTGCACAGAATAAAGACCAACCGACTCTCTCTGTGACAGAGGGTTTATGGTGAATATTTTAAAGAGTAGAGCAGCAAAGGGGTTAAGGTGTAATAAAGAGATTAACTACAGGAAATCATGTTCTCAAGAAAGCCTTATTGACCCTATAAATGCCAGTTTAGTATATGGGTGGCACACCCTGCTGGGATACAGTTAATATTTTACTAAACAGAGCTTTTCACAACTTTTGTAAAGAAGCCGTAATGCTCTCCATGTGAATAGACGGTTAATAAATATTATGTAAGAGTTTGTCTAGACAGGAAATTACCAGATTTTACTATCAACATGACGTAAAGTCATGATTTTATTAATGACACGGAGGCGAGTATTATGCATTCTCTTTCTTTATTATACTCCCAGCAGCAAGAAAAAGGGAAGTATGAGAGAATCATAGAAACAAGAAACCATAACCATAGCCTGGTAACAGTAGCACCAATCAGCATCCAGTATAATCCATATAGGTGTAGTGCTCCTTGACTCCTCCTCTTTCTGCGTAGATCCCGAAGACCATTAGTACAAATTCCAAGGTATTCCAACCAGAAATATGAATTCACAAACCAAAACCATAGCTGGAACTTCAATATAGAACAGTTTCAACCACCAACTCTCAAGTTGTATTCAAGCTAAAAGAGAAGAAAAATATGGTAATATCGAAATCTCGTGACTGCTATTCCGCAATTAACAACTCGTCAACCTTGTTAATCATTCGATGTAAATATATCAAGTTCGTCAACCATGTTGATAAATCGAAATAAGTATCATATAAGTCATATTCATTGAATACTTACTCACCTGTGCCATGAAGGATCTTGTACTCACCGTATTAAGTCATCCTAAAGGCCCCATGTCTGGGTTGCAACTTAATCACCACCCTGGGTAGGGTGGGTGGGAATAATATTCGCCTCTGTGTCATTAATAAAATCATGACTTTATGTCATGTTAATAGTAAAATCTGGTAATTTTATTAAAGACACGGAGGCTCCTATTATGCTATTTTTAAAGTTGAGCAATCACTGAACTGGAAATGTGTTGCACTGGGCGAAAATAGAAATTACGAAATGTAGACTCATTCGACCACTCAGCTGCCCGTAGGATATCCTCCAATTTACAACCTATCATGGCGGCTTTAGAGGCCATAGCCCAGCGAATGGAGTGTGAAGAAAAAGTTGAGGTGTCTATGCCTGCCATTGACATCAACCATTTGATCCAACGAGCTAAAGTAGGAGTAGATACTGGTAGGTGAGGTACTTTGAACGAGATGAATAATGGATGTGTTTGCTCTGGACGGAGCGAGGCCGTACAATGCTCGTATTCCTTCATACGTAACACAGGGCACAAGTTTGGGTTGTCCGGAAACGACGGGTAGAAAACTTCCTTAGTCGAGGATTTTGTCCAACAAGAAATATTAAAGGATACTTTGTTTGGGACAAAAACGCATGCATGCCAGTCTAGCGCTCTGACATCAGCAACCTGTTTACATGAAGGTAAACAAAACCGCATCAGCAGCTTGGCCGACAATTGCTTTAGAGAAAGTTCCTGGTTCACTGGCCAAGATTCGATCAAATGAAAGATCATATTGACATCCCAAAAGGAAGAATATCGAGTTTGAGGAGGTCGAGAAAGGCTTTTCCTTCCTCAAAGAGTAGGGTAAGAAATTGTAGAATTGCTTTTGTAGGAGCTGATATGGGATTCATTGACTGTCCCACGCACCAATCAGTCCACTTTCTCCAAGCCGACCCGTAGGCATGTCTGGTACCTGGTGCCCACGATTCTGCCAAGAGACTGTGTCGTCTGCGAAACCTCCTCGAGATTCCACGATGATCTGATATGAGCCATGCCATCAGTTGAAGTAGACCCTGGTCGGCCAGTTCGTGACTCATTCCCTCTGGGTTGGTCAAGAGGTAGGGCATGTCCGACAACAGCTGTGGGAAATCTATCGACATTTCCAATAACTGAGGAAACCAAGGTTGTGTCCTCCATATACAAGCGCCAGTATTTCTACTGGAATATCGAAGGACCGCTAGGGTCCGAGAAATGAGGATGAAAGGGGGGAAAGTGTAGTTCCTGCCTTTGGTCCAGTCCTGTAGGAATGCATCTGTCGCCAGAGCATCTGGATCCGGTCTCCAACTGAAGAACCGAGGAAGCTGGGTGTTTAGACGAGACGCGAAGAGGTCTATATTGAAAGGTCCCCAGAGTCGAGAGAGGCGCTGGAAAATCATTGGGTATCGGGAGGTTACCTCAAGAGACAGCCACTGGAGGCTGGATTAACCTATGTATAAACATAGCAGTTTCTCTGAAACTGCTATGTTTATAAAAAAAAAAAAAAGGGGGTTAACCCCAGCTGGACCAGGCACCCAGACCACTTCATTAAGCTGAAGTGGTCTGGGTGCCTATAGTGGTCCTTTAACTTGTCTGAGGGAGCAGCAAGAAAGAGGAGGAGTCAAGGAGCACGACACCTATAAGGATTATACTGGATGCTGATTGGTGCTACTGTTACCAGGCTATGGTTATGGTTTCTTTTTTCTATGATTCTCTCATACTTCCATTTTTCTTGCTGCTGGGAGTATAATAAAGAAGAGGAATGCATAATAGGAGCCTCCGTGTCTTTAAAAAAATATGTAATTATATTGGCCATGTTACTAAATGGATGAAGATACTCTGCTCTAAGTAACAGCTTATTGTTTCCTGGCAGGAGACAAGACTGGCATGTGTGTCGCAGCACTGGTTAAATTGGCCAATCATGACACGTTGGGAATAAGGGGATTAAAAGCGGAATAGTTTCTGCAGATCTATGGATCGGGAAACGATGCTTTGCTTATAGTTGGCAAAAAAGTGAAGGCTGACAGATATTATGATCCAAAAGAAAAACACCTAAATTTTGTAACTGCATGATGGATGATAGTGATACTAGCAGAGATTTAAAAATAATATAAAATAATATAATTACTAAATGATCTACTTGGCTCTTAATGTGGAGTAAAGATGATTTTAATGTGGAGTAAAGATGATTTTAATGTGAAATTACTGGATTTCCAATCCAAGTTGTCTTTAACTGTTTGTATGCCACAATTGTTGAATTTCGTGACATTTGAAATATGGTATTATCAAATCAAAGTTACTTTTCTCTCACCGACACAACCAGTGCTTCTTGGTAAACATGTTCGGAATCCTTTGTTCTCTCAGATTCCATGTGATCTGTACTATTCAATGCTTGGCTGTCAAGGTTATTCACTAACCTGAATTGTTGAGAATGGCATGTCATAGACCAAGATAGCTGGCTGGAAAAATTCTCAAGGGCAGTGCTTGAGGCCTGAAATTTGAAATTTTGCATTATGGCTTTCAATACAACAGAATTCACTGTTTAGTGGATGAACCCCTCAATTTTGCAGTATTTCTTGGCAGGTGTCATTGAACTTTCATTTCAGCGTTTGGACACACTCATCACTGCAGCCTGAAGCCCATCCCGTCCGTGTCCAATAAGATGCTTTTTATATTAAAAAAAAATATTGATAACACGTGACCGTCACAGCAATCGGCCAATCCAATGTTTTTCATTTAGAAGCACTGGATACATACAGCACTCAACAGCCACATAAACTTTCAGAAACTGCACAATTTTTATATGCAAGGCTGCGGGAGCTGTGTCTCTACCCCCAAATCACTTAATTAAGATTAAAGGCACAATTGTGTATTCCTTTCACTATTGTGTTAAAAATGCAGTTTAGGCCACCAGCCCCTCTTGGAACTCTTTAAAAGGTAATAAATTTACCTTTATTCCAGCACCATGCGTGTTTGCAGTGGCGAGCTCTGTCTCCACTCCGCCTCTTTGGTTGAGATCATCACAATTGACATTCTCAGCCAATCTAATGCTTTCCCATAGGAAATCTTTGGGGGGCTATTTCACAAGCGCAGCAAAACGCAGCACTGCATCAATAAGCATCTCCTCATAGAGATGCATTGAATCAATGCATCTCTACGAGAAATGTTCAGTGCCTCCATGAAAAGCATGGAGATGTTGAATATCAGTGCTGCACATTGAGCAGCACTGACACAGGAAGCGTCTCTAGTTGCCGTCTGACTGACTGCCACTAGAGGTATTCCTAGGCAGTAATGTAAACGCTGCTTTTTCTCTGAAAATGCAGTGTTTACATTAAAAAGCCCGCAATTACATGCTTATACATTCGAACAACTACGGTACATTAAGCTGTAGTTGTTCTGGTGACTATAGAGTCCCTTTAAGTGATCTTGGTGCTTAGACTGCCTCTTTAAATGTCGCTGCCCATTAGATTTGTGCAAAAATATGTTCATACATCTTTCTTTGGCTTAAGTAAGTACACCTCAGTCCATACCTGGATGAATCGTTTTATCCAGGATTTACCTGTGGGGTCTTCTTCACCGAATAAGAATTCACAGGTTAATCTCAGACGTACCAATTCGTTAGGATATTGATTAAAAGGAATTCGATCTAGACAAACTGGTCTCAAGAAACGTTTGCACAAGTCTACTAAAATTCTCTACTGCACATGTACTTTTGCAATGTTTAAGGTGGCAATGTCACCTGTCACTCTGTCCATAAAGATTAAATCTTTATGAAAAACTCTCAATGATTTTACTGAAATTCCCACACACGCTAAGATATCAAAAGACAAAGTAGGAACTGCTTGACAAAAGGTGGACCTACAAGTTTTCTCATTTACTCTAGCTGTTACTGGTGACAGCTGTGAGGAAAAATGCATTGTCTATTTAACCTCTTGCGGGATTTCCCCACCCCCCCATAGACATTCTTGTTCTATCCTGAGGCATGTGCATGGGTACAGCATTGACGGTAGCTCCTGGCAGATGCAGTGCTAGGAGCTGAAGAGGACCTACCAGATGGTGGCATGGTGTAGGCCGTAACAGACTTTTTCAGGTAAGTAAAACTTACCTCCCTCCAGCTGTCCACTGCAAGCCGCAAAGTCGCCATCAAGGGTCTTTGTAAAATATGCAAAGACCCCAGATGGTGACAGTCTGTTTTACGGTTTAATACATAAACCATATAGTGTACTTTAATTTTGTTTTATACTGTGTTTATGGTCCTTTCCAAATACAAGTTTAGAATTTGAGTTATCTACTAAAGTGAATTGCCTGGAATTCAAAGCGCGTTATAAGTTTTTTAGTCTAAAACAGGCCAAACTGAATAAATCAAAAAATTTGAGAAGTTATCCAGTTTGACGGTTAAGGTCTAAAAATTTAATGTAAGTTTCAAGTGTAAACATTTTTTTTTTTTTTTTTTATGGGTGTAGCCTTTATGTTATAATATAATATCTCATAATTATTATATGCACATGAAATTTTCTTCCACAGCCATCTTTGTGCATCTGTGGTCGGATTGTCATTTATCTGACCCAATATATCTGTATATCATAATGCCCTTTAAAAACAAAAATAATATTAAAAAAAATATGCAAATAAGTACAGGCAGAAACAACTGTCTCATTTCCAGGCCATGATTCTGTCGTCTCCATTTGCAGTTATGTTGTCTTTTTAGCACATTTATGTTTGTGCCGATGAATGGGTTTTGTCTGAATTACCTCCCCTCGGCATGGCACCAGCTTTTAATTCAGTGTCTGAAATCTTAACAAAACATTAAAAACTGTCAAAAAAACTGATTTAAGTAAATTCTCAAATCTACGGCTTTACAGCAACCGCATACCATACGACAAATTCAAGATGAGCTTTAATCATTTATCTAACCTGTTGGACAGGTTTATAATCGCTAAAAATATGTAGATTGTGAAATATTAGGTAACATTCGGTATTTGTGTGATAGATATGTTATGCAGATACTCTGAGCACCTCAAGGGTTAACCCCTTAAGGACCAAACTTCTGGAATAAAAGGGAATCATGACATGTCATCCTGATCATGTGCCCTTAAGGGGTTAAACAAAGCTGTTGGATACATGTCCTACGCAGACGAGAAGTACAGATGTACGCTTACACACACAGTTGGGTGAAAGGGTCACACTTGGCACCATCACACCTTTCAATAATTCCATACCTCTCAAGTGTATAAGGGAGAGTCCCTATATCGTGCTCAAATCCCTCTGTCGCTCTTTCCCACTTTCTAGAAGCTCCATATTGTTGGTGTGTCCTAGTGTGTAATACTCCCAGTGATGTGTCTTTAAACTACAATAAATGTGTTTAGAAATCAGTCTGTGTAAATAAGATGCATTGTTATAAATTACATTTTTACTTGCAAACATTATTAAGTCACCTAAAATGTCTCAGAACAGAACCCACACCCCACTCACACCCCTAATATTAAAGTGTCCCTCTTTGTCCATTTGAAATGTTGGGAGCTAACATCGCAAAGGCGATGGTGCACTTCTGACTGCCTAGCATATATTCTAATCAGGTTTGTGCATGTTAGACATGACATATGAACAACGTGCTGAGCTCTCATCGTTCTATGGCTCCAGCGACCAGTGCACATAGCCAGGATACTAACCTAGGCCACGTGTAAACTTGGTGGAGCTGTAGTTTATGCCCCTCTTCTTCAAAAGGAGCACAGCTGGAATACAAGAGAGCCTTGCCTTTCTTTACATTACAACGATCACCATGTGCATGTAAAATGTAATCCATATGGCCCTGTTGTGTTACATTTCATGACCATATAAGAGTCCTCGTGGGCTAAATATCTCTTCGATTTACTTTGCAATCTTAATCTAACATACACGTGTTTGGATGGGAGGCGCTGCCAGCCTGGAATGAATGTATGCCAAGATGGCGTACAGCCTCTGTATTTGGCTCCTTACAGACTGCCTGTGCGTAGAGCTCTGCTGAAGCTATTTTCCAATTAACCGAATGCATCTAATGATGCACTCACACTTTGTGGGGGACATTATCCAGCTTGCACCAGATGCGGGAACCTAGCCTGAATTTGGGACTGTCCCTCCAAATCTGTGACAATTCGACGATTTTCATTGTTGCTGAACTGCCATCTTGTGAAATGTCCTGTTTTTTTTTTTTTTTTTTCCTTCTTCTTATAAAACGTAGCACTAGTAACAGTTCAAGTGCCACCACCCAGTGGCCAAAACTGTTACTGCGCTGGAGAAATTTCCAAATTGAGGACTGTGATAATTAACTCTAAACAGGAGACAGGCACCTACATAGATATTTTGTTCGAACCTGAGAAAAGTTACGTTGATCCTGTTGAACAGTACGTAAAGTGAGGAAATGGCTATTTTGAAGGGAGAATAAGATTCAGACATGAATTCGCAGAGTCGGTGGACATTATTCCATGTATGTCTATGATATCAAGTGAATGCTGAAACCGGTCAGTGATTAAAGGACTTAGAACGTGTCGATATTTTCTGTAACTTGGTACAGTGTGAATCCACTAAGTTTTTTTGTTTTATCTACTGGGTGATACTGGGCGTCTCTGAGCTCTGCCAGTTGAACGCACTTGGCACCGTTGCATCCTCCTATGTTTGGCAATCGGTTTATTTAGGTGTGTCCTGTGCTTTCTTTCTCTATAAGAACTAACCCCATGAAACAAAGGATCAGGGCAGTTGCTGTGTCAGGAAGTGCATGCGGATTGGATGGGATTAAAGGAACAAAGTTCTATTCCTTTACAGTCACAATGAAATACCCAACCCTAAATATCTAGGTTAAAAGGACACGCCAGGCTGGGACTTGACTTCCTTTATTTGAATGTGTTTTATAAATATTTGATTTAAATATAAAAAATAAACAGATCACAACCTTTGAAGTTACTGCGGGTGCTGTAGATCCTCAGCATTGCTGCAGCACGCTCACACCATACCAGGAAGGGGTTGGAAATCCCTGCTCCAGTCGTAGTGCCCCATTACTTGTTTTATAGGTAATGGTATATATCCCATAACCCAATGTGCAGCAGAGATTTATGGGATTTATAGTTTGGAAAGCAGCTTTCTATTAAAAGTTTTTCAGTCTGCATCTAAACTTTGCATTGTGTCTAACTTTTATGGGTGCTCTAAGTCTTACATTTGATAGTAATTGGGGAAAAGATGAGCCATACCTAGACGTAGGCACTAGCCATTGAGCTATACCTAGATATAGGCACTAGCCATTGAGCTATACCTAGATATAGGCACTAGCCATTGAGCTATACCTAGATATAGGCACTAGCCATTGAGCTATACCTAGATATAGTCACTAGCCATTGAGCTCCACCTAGATGTAGTCACTAGCCATTGAGCTATACCTAGATGTAGACACTAGCAATTGAGCTCTACCTAGATATAGTCACTAGCCACTGAGCTCTACCTAGATATTGGCACCAGCCATTGAGCTCCACCTAGATGTAGGCACTAGCCATTGAGCTATACCTAGATATAGTCACTAGCCATTGAGCTCCACCTAGATATAGTCACTAGCCATTGAGCTCTACCTAGATATTGTCACCAGCCATTGAGCTCCACCTAGATGTAGGCACTAGCCATTGAGCTATACCTAGATATAGTCACTAGCCATTGAGCTCCACCTAGATGTAGGCACTAGCCATTGAGCTATACCTAGATATAGTCACTAGCCATTGAGCTCCACCTAGATATAGTCACTAGCCATTGAGCTCTACCTAGATATTGTCACCAGCCATTGAGCTCCACCTAGATGTAGGCACTAGCCATTGAGCTATACCTAGATATAGTCACTAGCCATTGAGCTCCACCTAGATATAGTCACTAGCCATTGAGCTCTACCTAGATATTGGCACCAGCCATTGAGCTCCACCTAGATGTAGATACTAGCCATTGAGCTATACCTAGATATTGGCACCAGCCATTGAGCTCCACCTAGATGTAGGCACTAGCCACTGAGCTATACCTAGATATAGTCACTAGCCATTGAGCTCAACCTAGATATAGTCACTAGCCATTGAGCTATACCTAGATATTGGCACCAGCCATTGAGCTATACCTAGATATAGGCACCAGCCATTGAGCTATACCTAGATATAGTCACTAGCCATTGAGCTCCACCTAGATGTAGGCACTAGCCATTGAGCTATACCTAGATATAGTCACTAGCCATTGAGCTATACCTAGATATAGGCACCAGCCATTGAGCTATACCTAGATATAGGCACCAGCCATTGAGCTATACCTAGATATAGGCACCAGCCATTGAGCTATACCTAGATGTAGGCACCAGGCATTGAGCTCCATCTAGATGTAGGCACCAGGCATTGAGCTCCACCTAGATGTAGGCACCAGGCATTGAGCTCCACCTAGATGTAGGCACCAGGCATTGAGCTCCACCTAGATGTAGGCACCAGCCATTGAGCTCCACCTAGATGTAGGCACCAGCCATTGAGCTCCACCTAGATGTAGGCACAGCCATTGAGCTCCACCTAGATATAGGCACTAGACATTGAGCTATACCCAGATAAAGGGACTAGCCACTGAGCACAACCAAGGTATAGGCACTAGCCATTGAGCTATACCTAGATATAGGCACTAGCCACTGGGCTATACCTAGATATAGGCACTAGCCACTGGGCTATACCTAGATATAGGCACTAGCCACTGGGCTATACCTAGATATAGGCACTAGCCACTGGGCTGTACCTAGATATAGGCACTAGCCACTGGGCTATACCTAGATATAGGCACTAGCCACTGGGCTGTACCTAGATATAGGCACTAGCCACTGGGCTGTACCGAGATATAGGCACCAGCCACTGGGCTGTACCGAGATATAGGCACCAGCCACTGGGCTGTACCGAGATATAGGCACCAGCCACTGGGCTGTACCGAGATATAGGCACCAGCCACTGGGCTGTACCGAGATATAGGCACCAGCCACTGGGCTGTACCGAGATATAGGCACCAGCCACTGGGCTGTACCGAGATATAGGCACCAGCCACTGGGCTGTACCGAGATATAGGCACCAGCCACTGGGCTGTACCGAGATATAGGCACCAGCCACTGGGCTGTACCGAGATATAGGCACCAGCCACTGGGCTGTACCGAGATATAGGCACCAGCCACTGGGCTGTACCGAGATATAGGCACCAGCCACTGGGCTGTACCGAGATATAGGCACCAGTCACTGGGCTGTACCGAGATATAGGCACCAGCCACTGGGCTGTACCGAGATATAAAAAAAGCAATCAGATGCACACAGTAAGCCAGTACTCCTACTATCAGAAAAAACAACAACTCCTGTGAAGGCCACTGCCCTATGAGTAGGCTGGAGTCCCCATATCGGCATGTAAAACGGTGTGTGTGTGATGGGTGATCTATAGATGACGATCTAAGGCAAAGTATCTTTTTATTTGTGCATTTTCTAGTACAATGTCAAGATCACACATTGTGCTCTTTAAGCCACACCCAACAATTTTTTTGGATGACAAATATGTTTCAAAGCCAATTATAATAATTACTAAGAGAGTGAAGAATATTCACATTTATTTTATTAACATTTGACACTGAATGCTACTGTTTAATTTGTTTCAGAATGTTTTGGATTATTACCCAATGCCTCCCCCAAACTGTAATTTACCCTACCGTTACCTGTGTTCCACTGTAATTAACCCTGTCGGTACCCAAGTTCCACTGTAATTAACCCTGTCGTAACCCATGTTCTGCTGTAATTAATCCTACCGTTACCCGTGTTCCTCTGTAATTAACCCTGCCGTTACCAGTGTTCCACTGTAATTAACCCCTGCCGTTACCCGTGTTTCACTGTAATTAACCCTGCCGTTAACCGTGTTCCACTGTAATTAACCCTGCCGTTACCCGTGTTTCACTGTAATTAACCCTGCCGTTACCCGTGTTTCACTGTAATTAACCCTGCCGTTACCCGTGTTCCACTGTAATTAACCCTGCCGTTACCCGTGTTCCACTGTAATTAACCCCTGCCGTTACCCGTGTTCCACTGTAATTAACCCCTGCCGTTACCCGTGTTCCACTGTAATTAACCCCTGCCGTTACCAGTGTTCCACTGTAATTAACCCCTGCCGTTACCCGTGTTCCACTGTAATTAACCCTGCCGTTACCCGTGTTCCACTGTAATTAACCCCTGCCGTTACCCGTGTTTCACTGTAATTAACCCCTGCCGTGTTCCACTGTAGTTTTGCAAAACTCAGATTTTATCCTTGTTGAAATGTATTCGTTCTGCAATTATGACACTGCTCACACTCTACTCTCGTGTCAAACGTTCCAGAATCTGAATCTTTTGCACCATATCACAGTCTCCTTAGTCTGATCACACCCAGCACATGTGTCACAACTGCTCCCCCCCCCCCGCCTCACTTGTAGAATACACGTTACTGGATTCCAATGAAAGAATCCGCCTGTGATGGGTTGTTACTCTTTATGGCACGGCTGTAGTTATTTGAATGTCTGAATACAAATTGCTATTGTTAGATTCTCACTAATCCATGATTAACATTTCAGTGGAGATCTATTAAATTGTCCTGGTATGTCTGTCTCATTAACTCCTATTCCGCCATAATGGCCTCATTATACATATATATTTTTTTATTACATAAGGCAATTAATCCTAACTGGCAATTAATCAGGCATTTTATTTTCCTAGTTACTGCAGACTACAATTCCCGTTCTGCTTGGTCAGGTGGTTTGCAACATGACAAGAGGTGCATTTACGAGCGTTCTTAAAGCTGGTATGCACTCTGCACAGGCAAACTCACTCCTGAACTGCCATAGTTTTATAGTTACAAATGAATCATGGGAAAAAGGATTTGAATAATCAGGATAGTGACACTCATGACCTCTATATCTCTATGTATCAAAAGAAAGCTTGATGTATCTTTTTTGGTATATTTAGGTGAAAGATGACAAAATACTAAAAATACGCCCTGTCCCCCAGCATGCATAGCGATAAAAAATAAATAAATAAATTCCCTGGCACACAGGGTTAAAGCAAAAGTTAAAACAAAACTAAATTTTGTTGTAGAAACTCCATGAATCAGGACTGTGACTGTAACAGTTAAGGGATTATCGTCTTAGCCAGTTTTAAAACGTCTGTGTGGTTTTCCAAGAAAGCAGTGGTGTAATTAATGAATTCTGCGATGGCTAGTTCAATGACAAATTTCAGGGTGCTGAACCCTAAAACTCTACACGACTGCCGTCTGTAAACCCCTAGTTTCAGTCTTTAGTATTACCTGCTTTCCAAGTGTTAAAGGGACGCTGACTTCAGACTTATCAAGCACTATAGCTTGCAATGTCTTGGGTCTGCCATTTTCTAGACCGTTTTTAAAATTTCAATTAAAATTTGCACTTTTATAATTAGGACAGAAACCCCTCCATGGCTGTCACTCAGACAGCTAGGAAGGTTCATTGAGCTTTGTTTTGCTCCACAGAGCATGCTGTGTTGGTGCACTCCAGTTTTCCCCTCTATCTCCTATACTACAGCTCATTGAGCAGTATAGGCAAGGAGCTAACATGGGCATTCACTGCTTCAGCACAGAGGCATCACCTTGAGATGGGTGTATTTCCTGGCACAGACTCTAAGTCTGTGCTGGGGAAAGGGAGTTTCTTCATAAACCTCCAAAGAAAACATGCAGAAAAAAAATACATGCATGTTTTCTTTGGGGATAATCTACTAAATTGTTAAACAGAAAATGTGAATTGTTCCTTTAAATCTTTATGTACTTTGGGCGCAGCGTTGTTAAAAGCAGCTGTTTTGCTATTTTGTTTGGCTTATGGTTAGTATGTCAACTCGTTGTGAAAAGGAATGTTCCAAAGAGTGTGTGGTTTTTTTATCTTAGTTTTTTTAAATCAATATTTCATATTGTTGAAGGGACACTATATAATCACCAGAACCACTACAGCTCAATGCAGTTGTTCTGGTGTATATAGCATGTCCCTGCAAGCTTTTAAATGTAAACACTGCCTTTTCAGAGAAAGGGCAGTGTTCATGTTACTGACTAGTCACTCAGATGGCCACTAGAGGTGCTTCCTGTGCAACACCTACATTCAGTGTCTCCACGTTCTGCGTGGAGACTCTGAACGCTCGCCATAGAGTTGCATTGATTCAGTGCATCTGTATGAGGAGATGCTGATTGGCCAGTGTGGCATTTTGCACAATGCAAGCGCAGGACTGCTAATGTTCACATTTGCTGTGTAAGTGCTTTACTTTTCTGTAAAATTGCACATATTGATGCTAGATACATTTGTTTTTAAATTTACTGCATGTCACCTGACTTTCTTGAGACACATATAATTTAAAGGAATTCCTAACGCTGTTGATTTAGATTCTTGGCCCTCCCTGATACAAATTTAAAAAAAAAAAAAACACAGAAAAAAGGGCCAAAGAAAACATCTTTAACGTAGCATCTGGAGAGTGGTACAAACAAAATAAATAATAATAAAAAAATTAAAATAGTGAAATACTTTAATAAAAAAATTAAAATAGTGAAATACTTTAATATGTCCAGATAAAAATATATAAATTCATCATGGCTCTAATAAGCCACAACTAGATAAAATATAGCGTTTAAATGTCAGTCAGTCTTGTATCAGCCACTACACAGAAACCCTGTCACAAGGTGGACTGCAGTCACTTCTAATCAGGGCCAGATTAAGAGGCCAGTGGGCCTGGTGCTGACAATTATGATGGGGCCTAATTACAGAATATATCGACCAAAAACACTTAAACAGTCATACCTCTCAAGCGTTATGTATCTGATGGAGTTGGTGTTGGAGGGAAACTCAAAGGATGCAGCTATAAGAAAACATATACTCTATGCTAATCTCTCTCTAATTTATGCTTTCATCTTTCAAATAAATCCATACCCTCTAACAGCAGTGTCCAGTGAAGCAGGAAGTCAATGGGGTAAAAGGGTGGGCCACTGACGCGAATCACATGACAAGAACTGCTAAAAGGGCGAACATGCCCAAAAAGGGGGCATGTCTGTCCAAAGAATTGGAAGGCCATCTTGACATCAGTGTCCCTATGTATCAGTGTCAGTGTCCCAATGTCACCCAGTTCCCTAGTCTCCCAGTGTCTGTGTCCCCATTTCTCCCAGTGTCCCTATGTCTCAGTGTGTTCCATGTCACTAGGATACTAGGAGAGACTGAGGGACATGGGGACACTGAGAGACATGGGGACACTGAGAGACATGGGGACACTGAGAGACATGGGGACACTGAGAGACCGGGGGACACTAGGACACATGGGGGAACTGAGACACTTGGGGACACTGGGAGACATGGGGGCACTTGTGGATACAGACATGGGGACACTGAGACATTTGGGGACAGAAGGAGAAATGGGGCCACAGACACTAGGAACACATAGACATGGGGACACAAACATTTGGGGAAACACACTAGGGACACTGGGAAACTAAGACATGGGGACACTGAGACACTAGGGTCACTGGCTGGGAGGCATGGGGACACAGACACTTGGGGACATTGGGAGACATGGGGGCATTTGTGGACATAGACATGGGGGCACTGAGAGACATGGGGACACCAGGAACACGGAGACATGGGGACACTGAGACACAGGCTGGGAGACATGGGGACACTGAGACACTAGGGACACTGGCTGTGAGACATGGGGAGACTGGGAGACATGGAGATACTGTGTCCCTAGTGTCTTTGTGTCCCAATGTGTCTCCCTATGTCTCACAGTTTCCCCATGTCTCAGTGTCCCATAGTGTCCCCATGTTTCCAAGTGTCTCAGTGTCCCCACATCTCCCAGTGTCCCCTAGTGTGTCAGTGTCCCCATGTCTCCCTGCTGCCTTTCCCCCCATCCTTCACTTACCTGAGCTGTAGTCTGTCTCTGCAGGCTGGGAGCTGCTGTGTGGACTCTCTGTGCTGTGTAGCTGATCAGTGAGTAGAGAGAGGCAGGGAGGGAGATGCTGTAACTTCCTATCCCTGCCTCTCACCACACACAGTGACCCCTACTGGCCGGTGCTGGTATTGCAGAGTAATCTCCATTTATACTGAGGAAAATATTTGCATCTGTATTGCCGGTACTACTGCAATACCGTCACGGCAAGGCAGCCTCAAATATTGGCTGTGCCTTAAAATACCAGTCAGGTGGCAAACCTAAGAGTAGTGTGTAAAAAAAAAAAAAAAATTTTTTTTAAAAAGTAAAAAAAAAAATTTCTTTTTTTTTTAAATGGGCCTATTCCATGGGCCTGGGCCTGGGCCTGGAGCTGCAGCTCCATCAGCCCCTATGTTAATCCGGCCCTGCTTCCAATAAGACTTTAGCTTAATCCAGTACTCCTAATGGAAATTCACGTAGATTATTCAGTACATACAACCACATGCGTACCAATACAGGTAAGGGACCGTATAGAAAGAATGTCTTACTTGGTGACCCGAACTGCCTATCTATAAAAGAAGATAAAGCAGAACCATAGTGCGCACTGGAATTGCCAGAGCCCAAATCCATGAAATGATCTAATAAGTCCTCCTGATAGACTTTTAATAAAAAAACATTCATTTCCGGCACTTAAAAAAAAAACAAAAAAACGTGCATTTCTGAACAATTCCTGCTTACCCCCTGAGTTGGCTAAATGGGATGTTGCTTAGCTATGCTCTTTCATGATGGCTACTAGCGGGGATAAAGCTATTGCAATCCCCGGGTTTCCTGAAGGGTTTAGTATATTATTGTCTATCCTTGATCTAGATTTCTAAATCTAAAAACTCAATTCTTTCTTGTAGATTAAAAGTAAAGTTCAGTTTGTATGGATTTTGATAAAAAAAAAAAAAAGCATTAAAGATTCCAGTTGTTGTAGATCACCCATTCCAAATAAAATCATCTATATGCCTCTGCCATAGGGCCAGATTTGCACCTAACTGAGAATTATCACAAGTAAATTCATCTTCCCTTTTCCCCGTGAGCAAATTTGCGTAACTAGGTGCAAACCTTGTTCCCATGGTATTACCCTCAACCTAAAGATGGGATTGACCATGTGACTTAAAATAAAAGTTACACACTTTACTAAAAACTCAATCTGGTCATTTTTAAGTAAGTGGCTAGGGCATATTGAATTCCTTCACATCCCTGCAAGTATTCTAACACTGGTCTCTTCCCACTCTACTGTAGACCATATTTGAATGACTTGTGTAGTATATCTCAGGTATGACTTTAATTTAAACACTTGAGCTTGTAAGAACTTATTAGTCCACATATTCTGATAAAGTAGATGTCAATGAGATGTAGATGTCAATGAACCAATATCAGAAATCAGTGGCGATGAAAATACATACCTAATATTGAATTACCTCTTGGGCGATGAAAACATCTACTTAATATTGATGGAACTCTTGGGCGATGAAAATATCTACTTAATGGGCAGCCCGGCCACCAAGTAAGGGATATATCTATATGGTTGCTTCCCTGTATTTATAAAGTAATAGAGGTCCAGGCACTCCTTGGTTCAAGACAGGCACTTTATTAGGAACCACAACAGCTGTTGTGGTTACTAATAAAGTGCCTGTCTTGAACCAAGGAGTGCCTGGACCTCTATTACTTTACTAATGTTTGGAAATCTGGTGTTTTGATTCCGGCTCAGCAAGCACCCTGGCTCAGATTTGTGAGAGTGAGTGCAGTTCCACATATACTATTCAACCTTACCTGTATTTAGACCAGGGCTCGACACATCCCAGGTGCCAGGTCACCATGGCGACCAGGAAATTTGTCCTGGCAACTGGGATTTGTTAGCCTGTTCAGCCCCCGAGGTGGCAGGCGACTGACAGAGGGATGGCCGGCTCATATATTGCTGAGGGAGGGGGGCCAACCGGCTCATGGATTGATGCTACCTTGCGCGTCTTGCAGTAATTCCGTCCCCCAGGCTAACTAAACAGTGCGCGAGAGGGAGATGAGCAGGGAGATGACAGAAGCTCCACTGGACCTCAGGGAAAGCCTATCCACTCCAGCTCTCCAAAGAAAGGGAGGCTGGGTGGATTTATAGTAAAATAAAAAAAAAACTAATTATTTGTAAGTGTCTGTGAGTGTATGTTTTTGTGTGTCTGTCTGTGAGTGTGTGTTTCCTCCAATCACATCACATGGAAAAGGTGTTTTTGTTCACCTCCCCCCCACCTCCATGGCTGAGATCATCAATTTTGACGATCTCAGCCAATCCAGTGCTTCCCCATAGGAAAGCATTGGGAGACAATTGCACATGCACGGCAAAATGTCACTGCGCCAATTTAACTTTTTATAGAGATGCACTGAATCAATGTAAAGGAGCACTATAGGGTCAGGAACACAAACATGTATTCCTGACCTTATAGGGTTAAAACCACCATCCTGCCCCCCAGGCCCCCTCATGCCTCCCTAAATATAGTAAAATCTTACTTGTATTCAAGTCTGGAGCTGCTGGCTTTGTCCCTGTTTCCTTCAGCAGAAGTGGTAGCCTGATCCAATCACAATGCTTCCCCATAGGATTGGCAGAGACTGACAAAGAGGCAGATCAGGGGCAGAGCCAGCACAATTCAAACACAGCCCTGGCCAATCAGCATCTCCTCATAGAGATGAATTAAATCAATGAATCTCTATGAGGAAAGTTCAGTGTCTGCATGCAGTGGGAGGAGACACTGAATGTTTGGATGGCCAGTGAAGTTATCACTAGGCTGTAATGTAAACACTACCTTTTGTCTGAAAAGTCAGTGTTTACATTAAAAAGCTTTCAGGGACAGGATATAGACTTCAGAACTACTACATTAAGTTGTAGTGGTTCTGGTGACTATAGTGTCCCTTTAAAAATTTTATTTTTGGCGTTGATGTCTCTGGCTCCTAGATTCCAAGCAAATTTGTCAGTCCCTGATTTTGACGCACATGGATGTATATATTGTTTGATGGATGTTCATTTTAACATTGTGAGTACTAATTTAAGCTACAGTCTAATTTGGAATGGCTCCAATCCAACTTGTGACAGGGGTTTTTATATAGTGGCTGATGGAAGACTGACATTTTACCACTGTACTTTATGTAGTTGTGGCTTATTGCAGCACAAGTTGCCTCGAGCGGCGATGTCCACTACCCCACAGGGCGGGATCTGGCCTCTAAATTTTCAACCTTTTCCAAGCCAGTTTTGTGAAAAGGGGATTACTGATTGGCTGAGTGCGTCAACTCAACGCTCTTGGCCAATCAGCGGCTCCCCGGCCTGTTGCTTCCTGCAGGTAAAAGTGTATTTTACCCCTTATCCTTAAAGGGTTTTACTTACCCTCGTGAAGAGCATTTGACATCAAACATCACATCGTCACATCATGTTTGACATCAAACATCACATCATCACATCATGTTTGACATCAAACATCACCGGACCGAATCCAACACAGTGGGTGCTTCACTCCCTCTAGTGGCTGTCAGGCAGATTCATCAGCTAACAAGCCTTTTAATCTTACTGCAATGTGATACCTAATAAAATCCCTGACATTTCTCAAGGGTGGCCATGTGATTGATCATGGTCTATAGATTTTTCGGCAAGTACATTGAGAACTTCTTTTTTTTTTATTTTTAGTGTCCGTGAAAGATGTCCACAACACTTGCATAAACTGTCCCAGTTTCTGGACGTGTCGTTTTAACATCTTGTCTGTTTTGTAAATACTAGCTTAATTTTATTTGGTTTTCTGTTTTGTGTGGGTGGTGCCTGTATTATTAAATGTACTTGGAAAGGGAGCTGTACTGTATGATCAGGGACATTTTACAGGATTATACAATCTATGTAATTTAATATACAGTACTTAAAAATGGCCTGTTCAATTTGTTGGCATTTTTATTATAAAAACTGAAAGAAAATATTTTATTTTATTTTTGCAGTGAATAACTATTTCTATTTTTTTCCCCGCATAGTCGAACGGTGGGAGCTACTCAGAAAATTACAGCTTTGGAATGGCTACTGACATAACTGCTCACTGCAACCTTTTTTATTTTTTTATCCGTAAAAGGTCACAAAACGTGTTTGTGTTTTTTTTTTGGTTTTTTTTTTAATTTGTTACACAAATGCAAGATAGCTGCCTCTGTGCTGAAACACCGACAGATCTAATTCCAGCTAAACATAATATAATTTGCATGAAAATAACTTTCACGTAACGCCCAACATTTAACGGTATGGAACGGGTAAGTGTGGGCGGCCCTTCGAGGGGGCATCACTGGTAACACCAATAAAGGAAAGGTCCGCCCGGATAGTGGCAAATTTGGGAACTAAATGGGGACGGCTGGACAGGACTCCAAAATAGGAACTGTCCCAAAAAAAGTGGGACAGCTGGGAGTACTGCATTAAACTTTGGGATGATGATTTTAAAGATAATTTCTGGAAAGCAAATAGTGATGCCAATGTAAGTGTATAAAATTATCATTCCTAATGTTGCTACACTGGTACCTCCAATCAGGAGCATCTCATCGTATAGAAGCTCTGATCTTATCCCAAAAACCCCAATCTTGCAGAGATTCATGGGATAGGTAATTTATCCCTCCATTCCCATTCCTCTTGTCACATGGAATTGAAGTGGAATATGTTGATAAATGCCATCTTTCTAAACTAGGGGCATTCCTGGTAACACATGGAAAGCAGAAATACAGATCTAAATAGGGAAATTACTTTTCAAAGATTGGGGATCGGTACCCTCTCTTAATGGCAACTACTGGTATATTGATTTACTCCATAAACTAGTAATTGTAGATAATTATCAAAGGAATCTGAAATTTCAAAACAGAAAGCTGGAAATCTAGCATAACTTGAGCATGTTTCGAAATTGTCACCGTTGTCATACAGCAATTTCCTTGTCAATGTTCCAAAATACCTGGTTTAGTAAATACACATCTATAGATGACGGGTTTATCTTTTATCCCCAGCATCGTATGTGTTCCTCCATCCGGCAATGTGATGGCGAGCCATGCAGGCAGAGCCATGGTGACAGACTCCTGCATCAGTTGTTCCCATTGTCTCATGGTTATGCAATAGTTTCTCTGCTCATAAAAACCTTAATTGTGAGTTATGTCAGAGCGCGCCTTCCTCTGGTATTCCTTAACAGCAGGGAGGGGTAAAGCATGACATTCAGCGTATTGCTGATTGCAACTCCATTCACTCCCAGCTAGCACCTACCTGGTGCGAGCTCTTATATTATAGGAACATGGCTGACTGAGGGTCTGAGAGTGGTAGTCTATAAATCGCCTCATGCTTTATCCATCTTTTCAGCAGAAGTCCAGAGGGGGCACTGATGCTGTAAATTGAATTTATTTTTTTAGAAATGGGGTCATGGAAGCGGTCTTCTACCATGTGTGCACTACTGCCCCCTACTGGTGGGTGTTTTTTTATGCCTGTAGCTGCTCATTTTAGTGAGAAACTTAAAGGGTTACTCCAAGCATCAGAACCACTACAGCTCACTGTAATTTAAGTAATACACTGGCACCGTATCCATTTATCTACGGTTTGCCTTTGTACCTGAATCCCCGTCAGGCTCGGAGCCTCCTGTAATGTTGGTGAAGTGCGTCCGGCTTGTGCAGCGCTGCAGAAGCCAGATGCCAATCCCGAGGGCCATTCGTTAAACAAGTGTGTCAGCAGAACACTCTTGCCAATAAATGACCAATATGCACAGATATAAACAGAACTGACATGAGCCAGCCCGGAATTCTCCGACTAACGTTTAACTGAAATAGAATCTGCTAAATTGAGGCTATAGGCCAACCTATGTCTGAAAATGTAGCAGACTCTCCTGTTTTGACTTTCAGTTAATCACAATTAATTGTTTAGTAGATAAACCCCTTTCTCCTTCTCCAAACTGCATTCCATCTCACTTCCCATGAACTCCTTCTTCATTGTTTTGGGTCCTTCCCACAGCACGGTCTTTATAGATGCGTCAGATCTATCATACTACAAAACTAGTCTTTAATTACGGTCCCACCCCATCCCAGCGCCTTCTATTAATCCCCTCTCCTGCCCTTTACATCATCACACAATACATCATCCTGCGTCGTCCTCATTACACCTTCGTCATGGTTCAGACACAGCCACGGAGCAAACTCAACCGCTTTGGGAGCGTTTTATCCTTATCTGGGGGGAAAAAACTGCGTAGTCGAATATGGTATGTCTGTGTATTCGTGCAACTCCATACAGTGTGTACAGTGCTGTATTTTATGATATAACTGGAAGGGGGTCCTACGTGTATACAATGCTGAATATCTGTGTATAAAGTGAGAAGCTGTCTGTGTGACACTGACATTTTGTGTATAAAAGGGCCAATGTCGACAAAATTGTATTTCTGTGTATATTTTTCACCATCTGCTGTACAGATTTAAAATTTTCAGATATGTCTGGGTGCTTTTTTTTTTTTTTTTTAAAGAAAAAAGAAAAAAAATGAATATTGAAGTGTTTTATCATTAATTTGTAGGATAGCCGCTTATTGCGTCAAGTAGATATACGATTGCCATTTCGAATTCTAAAAAGATTTCAACCCTGTGAATGCATAGCCTGTCTGAATCTACACCTATTAATAAAAAATAAAAATATTTGTGCCAATACTAAATGCCATAAATGTGTAAACCCATGTTCTTACTATGCTTGCATAAGCTGTTGTGGCTCTGTAAGATGTTTGATATCTCGTGCACAACGAAAAATAAAATAAAAATTTCAACCCATCCCACCCCACATATTTTGAAGCAGAAGAATTGGTTGGAAAAGCTGAACTAAAGTGTGGTCATTGTGTACTATGCTGTATTCTGTATGAAACAAGAATACTGTAAAGTTGTTAAATAAAATAAGTACAGAGCTGAATCTTTTATGTATAAAGAGGCAGGCAGTGTGTACAAAGCTCTATATTTGTATATAACGTGATGGTGTGTCTATACATCTTTAGGTGTGTGTGCCCTGGATGTAGTCGCAAGGCATATTATAGGTACCTTTCTCTGGTAAAAGTGGCACAGAGGCCCAACATTTAGAAACATCTTAGTCAGAATGTTAAAGGGACTGTTTAGTCCCTTTTGAGGCACCATAACAACTTCATCTAAATGAAGTAGTTTTTGTGCCAGGAGGCCTCAGGAGACACTCTTACCTTCAGGGATTAACCCTAAAGTAGCCTCCAGCGTCAATCACAGATCCCCCCCTGACCCCCCAACACGACTTCCAACTTCTGAATTTTCAAGCGGGCACTGATTGGTTGAGAGCAGTCAGCTGACGCTCAGCCAGTCGGTGACTCCCCATTCACAAAACTGGCTTGCAAAAGGTACGTTTCTTTGCCAGCGAGTTTTGTGAATGGGGAGTCACAGATTGCAAAATCAAAACATAGTAACGATAAATGGTCCATTCATGTACACATATATAACTTACAGTTCATTGTAAAGAACTCTCTTCAACGCAGGCTTCTCATCAATCTGTTGTTTCTGTAACATCTTGTAATTGTCTCCGATATTGTTAAATTTCCCCCTTTTTATTATATTGTAATGCACTGTGGAATACGTTGGCACTATATAAATACCAAGAATAATAATTCCAATGATCTGTAAGGACTTTTTAGGTCTGTTCTAAAGCCCACCCTTTTTCTTTCCTCTGATATGTTACCTACAAAGTGTTTAAAGTATTACATCCTTGGGTCTCATAAGAAAATCTTTTATCCACATCTGAAGGTCCACATTTCAAACACCGGCAGAGGTTATTTACTTAAAGTGAGAGGTGAAAGTGAATTTCAAAGGTTAAATTACCCAAAATGCAAACATTCTATAGGTCCTGCTACACTTTCAGTTTAGCTACTGCGACCGTAAATTTTTAATTCACTTTGAATTTCCACTTTAGTAAGTAGCCCTCAGGATTATTTACTACAGTGAGAATTCAAAGTGAATTTCAAGTTTTCCAGCAAAGCCGACTTTTTAAGTGGGATTTCTTTTCTCATTTTATGTGGCGATACTTCAAACTAAATATATAACAACATCTAATAGAAATATTACTCTGATCAAAAGGAGATATTTTGGGAAAATGAATGTATCCATCCCTTGTTTAAAAACTAAAGAGAATGAGATAAAAAATTGTTTTCTAAACTCTGTATAGTAATCAGTTTTCTCAATTAAAAAGATTACATTTAAAGGGACACTATCACCAGTTCCACTCCCGCTTACTGTAGTTTTTCTGTTGTCTACAGCCTGTCCCTACAGGCTCAGCAATGCAAATCCTGCCGTTTCACAGTGTTTGCATTGCTCCCTAGAACACCTATAGTGGCTGTCACTCTTACGGCAACTAGAGGTGCTTCCTGTGTCAGTGCTGCACAGTGTGCAACACCTGCGTTCAGTGTCTCCACTCTCTGCAAAACTTTAAATGTAAAGCATATCTGCAATAGGCCTGAATCTGCATTGACACTGGAAAACTTATATTGGTCAATCCCTACACTATAATCTTAGGAATACGTGTTTGTCCTCCTTTTACGACTTACCACTTTATTCTGTGATGAAACATTTTGTCCCTTTTTTAAAAAGGAGATACGCTGCGTTGCAAAGTAAGAAATAGGAATAAACATGAGAATAGGGCTAGTTGGTTTAATATCAGGGCTGGTATACATACTTTACCAATATATGTAAAATATGTGATTTTAACCTGTTCTAGTTTAATTTCCACGGTTATAAATTTGTCATATCCCAGAAAATCTTACATTGTCATATGTCAGTGGTGATTTATATTCTGACATGCACAGACTGTAATATACAATATGTTGGTACGACTGAACGCAAATTTAAAGAGAGTGTAGGAGAACACATTAATAACAATGAATTGGGTAATCCCAAGACTACACTGGGTACCTTTGAAATATGTAATGAGTCATTCTCTACACACCAAAAGCTGTAAAAAGGTGTTGCTCCTTTAAATTGAGACTCTAAAAAAACATACAAAAATGTGACAAGCACAACTCAAGTGTGAACAGTGAAAATATAGAAAATATTTAGTATGAAGAAAACATCCCTTAGATCGAGAAGATAATGCTTAGAAGACATCCTCTGATCTTCCAAAACATGTAAATACAAAAATAGGGGAAACTCAGCTAACGAAACGGACTGCAAAACAACATTGTGAATAACTGTGTATAATAAATCATAAAAATATTGTTTTCCAATTGGCCACTGTGTTGTTTTTCTATTCTGTTTCCTAAGCAGAGTTTTCCCTATTTTTGTATACTGTACATTCTAAGAAAACAACCTTTAGCTTAAAGGACCACTATAGTGCCAGGAAAACATACTCCTTTTCCTGGCACTATAGTGCCCTGAGGGTGCCCCCACCCTTAGGGTCCCCCTCCTGCCCGGCTCTGGAAGGGGGAAAGGGGTAAAAACTTACCCTTTTCCAGCGCTGGGCGGGGAGCTCTTCTCCTCCGATCCTCCTCCTCTCCTCCCCGTCGGCTGAATGCTCACGCGCGGCAGGAGCTGCGCGCGCATTCAGCCGGTCGCATAGGACAGAATTTACAATGCTTTCCTATGGACGCTTGCGTGCTCTCACTGTGATTTTTTTTTTAGAGGCTTTGGGGGAAGGCTTAACCCATTCATAAACATAGCAGTTTCTCTGAAACTGCTATGTTTATGAGAAAAAAGGGTTAACCCTAGCTGGACCTGGCACCCAGACCACCTCATTAAGCTGAAGTGGTCTGGGTGCCTAGAGTGGTCCTTTAATGAAGCGGTTTTGGTGTATAGGCCATGCCCCTGCAGTCTCACTGGTGAATTCTCTGCTGTTTAAGAGATATATCACTTTGCTTATGAACTCTCGCTACACTAGGGATGGATTGAATTATTGCAACTTTATGAGGGAGTTTTGCTGCAAATGTGCAATAGCCTCCCAATACTTTCCAATGGGATAGTGTTAGATTAGCTGACATCATCAATACTGATAATATCAGCCGAAATGGGGGCGGAACCAGTGCCGGACGACCTATGCGGTCCTGGAAAAAAAGATGATATACTTATTTATTTTTAACACTATAGGGTCAGGAATAGAAGTTTGTATTCCTGAAACCGATAGTGTTCCTTTAAACACTGTGCAGTAACAGAACATAACAAAGTGTTGGATTTTTTCTGGAAATTTATATGGAGGCAGTTTGAGTCTGCAGCAGACTCAATCGAACAACACCATAAAATGAAAAATCAGTAGATAATTTATTGCAAAACGCTTTATTAACAATATTGAATTTTAAAAGAAGTTATACACAGGAAGCAATGATAAAGTGAAGAAAACCAGGATAAAGCGTATTTACCTCTAACCTTTTATGTTCGTACTGAATCAGAAAACTGCTTCAATTATAGTCCTACAACAGTGCCCCAAAAGTATTTTATGATAGTCAGAAGAGACCAAGGAATAAAAGACAAATGATAGAGGCTAAAATATTTCTTCAATCGGTTGATCAAATTTTTTTTATTGTATTCTGGAAAGGGTTATTCTAGCAGTGCAATATGATTTTCCCGAAACCACTTTTTGCACACAGCAGCAACATGACCAGTACTTTATCCTGGAGAAGAGCATTAGAGTACAATCAATCTCCCAGAATCTGCGCATACAACCCCAGATCCTAACACTACCTGAATATGTTATGGTAACTGCAATGCATTCAGGCAGCAAATCTTCTCTAATTTATTTTTCCATCACTATCAGTTTTTGATATTCTGGTTTCCTTACTCCTAATGACTCTGTCCCATTGTTCCAATCACTATGGTTTTAGCCCATTCTAATATCTTCCTTCTTCATTTGGGAGATAGTAATTGCTTTTCCTTGGCATTATAAAATTGAACGCTTCGAGTCTGTGTCTTACAGCCCTAGCTATCTTCTTCACACCACATTGAAACAATTGATTTTTAATTGAATCATCTTTCTTCTTTCACTGAAACACCGTTTATTTTGATTGTCTGAGTCTGCAGATATCTCTTGCACGGTTTAGAAATACCTCCTTTGGTTAGGTTTCCGCACAAGTAAAGCCTTCTTCACTCTAAGTTATCAGTTTACATCACTTTCTAGGCGATTTGTCAACTCGTTACATTTTTTTTTTGTTTTTTTGTTTGTTTTTTTGTCACCTTACTAACTCGCACAGCTTATTAAGTTATCAAGAAACCGAAAAATCTGTTTCCAACAAACCAATTAACAACGAAAGACCAATGGCCAACGTGATGACTCTTTCACAACTGAAGCGAAGTCCTATTATTAGCTCTGATACCTTGAAATGGGAGCTGACTCATACTAAAACAGTATTATTATTGTTCCATTCTAGCTCATAATAATCTAAATGGCTCTCAGAACAATCCGTCTCACTGGTTTCATTTGAGTTAAGGAGTTCTACTTCATGTTACATAAGGCAGTGGTGTTTCTCTCTTTCTCTGGTTATTTAGCTATAACTGCTAGAATAAAGATAATTCAACACATTTGTTGCATCACATTCTGCATTAAATTACTTCTTGTGATATGTAATTTTATGGCATATTCTAAAAAAAAAATTGTGTCACCAAATGTTAGAAATACAAATTTTCCAAAAGGTTTTCATTTCACAATTTTGGCCACTAGCGTGTATCTATAACACAATATAAAGAGTTGAAGATTTTGTGTACCAACTCCACAGCCCTGATATTTGTAGTATTTTAAAACAGGACTCAAAATTTCAACTTGCCCAGTAGCTATTGGTAAGTGAAAATTCTGCCCTGGTTAGTGAGCTGTGGACCCTTGCGGTGGCAAGTAACTTTTAGGCCTGACTAGTAGTTTAGGGCATGTAATTGAGCCCTGTATAAAAGCTACACAACTGTTTGTTTGTATCAGGGGTAATTAGTGTTACTATTGTCTTCTGTAGACTTGACCTTCATTCTCCTATTTTATTACGAGCTCTCCAGAAGCCCAAGATGCCATTATTTTCCCATAATGCATGCATTTCTGTCTGTCTGCCCATCCACCCTTCTGTCTATGCATAAACAAACACATACAGAGTTTCTCTGATACCACAATGCAAGACTGATGTTCTTACATAACAAGGAATAGTGTCGCTGTTTATCACCGTGACCTACATACTGTTATTACAGAACGCAGGAATTAAATCCCAGGTTCAATTTTCTCTCGATTAATTTTAACACCCTCCCTCCCTGTGTGTGTTCCTCACCACACCCAGTATAATAATACAATGTGGGCCTAATATCTCAGTTATACCTGCCAGTTCTTTTTGAATCGTGATTCGACTCCACGCAGATCTGTATTAATCCCATATCCAGATACTGGGTTCCCATCATGGTACAGACAAAGGCGCGGCACAAACTTCGCCGCTTTGCTAGTGAGCTAAGCTTGTCAGGAGGCCGTAAACTGCGCAGCCGGATTTGGTAAATTTTTTTTTATTTTTCTGTTTTTTTGGGGGGGGGGTTTTAAATAAAATTTTTAATGTAAAGTGCAGATATAGTACGTAGTGTGTGTGTGTATTTACAATGGGTATAGTCTATAGTTTGTATATTTTTGTGTATTTATAGCAATGTGCACATATTGGTCAACTCTGTATGTAAATGAGAGAAATGGTACTCCCAATTTGTAAGATATTTTGCTGCTATAAGAACGTGTTTATTTACTGTCTTGTTCACAAAAAATTACTGATATTGGCTCGGTATTATAATAAATGTTACACACACTTGCACTTTTTAAAGCATGTGCAGAAATGGTGTGTTTCTGTGACTGTAATGGAATAATACACCATGTTTTTCCAAAAAAGTGTTTACCAGTTTATTATGAAAAAATTATTAAACCTTGTACTTTATACTCTTTGTATATAGAGTGTGTATTGAAAGGATATTGTGTAACGGATAATGTATGCTATGTGTTTGTAAACTTACATTTTCGGATGGGGTATATAGATGTGAACTGGATGTCCTTGCAAACTATTGTTAACAAATAAAAAAAGTGATTTATTTTTCAAATGTTTGTTTTTTGAAATTATAATCTCTATTTGGAAGAGTTGATGTTGAAATATTGTCTGGTTCGTTTAATACCATATGACCGCAAATGGTATTTGATTTATAATGTGCTTGGCCAATCATATTGGACCCTGTCTCCCATGTTTTTGTGAATAATAATTCCCATGACGCTTAGCCAGCAAATGTGATGCTATATTTGCGTATACACAGTGAGTGCAGCATATACAGAGCTGTATATATGCATATTTCTATTTTTTTTTTCTCTTGTTTTGGCAAATTGGCTCTGTACCTGATATAATAATTCTATCCTGGAGTTCTGTACATGAAAAGAGCTGCTTCGCAGTGTATTTAGCCCTGTTATACTGGAGACCGTATCTTCAGAAGGATATTGATACTTTAGAGAGAGTTCAGAGAAGGGCTACTAAACTGGTTCATGGATTGCGGGATAAAACTTACCAGGAAAGGTTAAAGGATCTTAACATGTATAGCTTGGAGGAAAGACGAGACAGGGGGGATATGATAGAAACATTTAAATATATAAAGGGAATCAACACAGTAAAGGAGGAGACTATATTTAAAAGAAGAAAAACTACCACAACAAGAGGACATAGTCTTAAATTAGAGGGACAAAGGTTTAAAAATAAAATCAGGAAGTATTACTTTACTGAGAGGGTAGTGGATGCATGGAATAGCCTTCCAGCTGAAGTGGTAGAGGTTAACACAGTAAAGGAGTTTAAGCATGCGTGGGATAGGCATAAGGCTATCCTAACTATAAGATAAGACCAGGGACTAATGAAAGTATTTAGAAAATCTTATCTGCCATCACATTCTATGTTTCTATGGAGGGAATTCATTGGGAGTGCTCCTTGTGGGCTTCATGTCATGCTTACAGATAAACTGTCATCATTTTCCCCCCCTGGAAATGAAAGGTTAGATATAATATAATGTTATTGTGTATTACTTAGTCATGGATACATATAGGTTTAATAACTTTTTAGCACATTTTCTTGCTTACCATCTTTATTACCTGCACAGTTTTCTTGTTGGATAAGTTGTAGATCTGACCAAAGAGGACTTAAACATGGTCAACGTCGTTCCTGTAAGGAGACGGTTTACAGTGAGTCTGCAGGGGCATGATCTATACACCAAAACTATTTAATTAAGCTAAAGCGGTGTTGATGCCTATAGGGTCCCTTGAAGTAAAAAATAATTTTCCCCCTTTTTTTTTTTCTTTTTTTTCTTTTTTATTGACATTTCCTCCTGTAACATATGAATGTTACATTGTGCTGGAGAGCACTTTTTCAAGTACCACGAAAGAGCTTGAGGTGTTATTAGCTGCCCAATAAACAAAATGAATAATTCCTGCTTTTGTGTTCTAAATGTGAATTGACCCTTTTTGAGGTGTTGAAATTCATGAAGCCTATTTTTTTTCCTTCTAGTTCTGATATTGGGCAAAATTGTCCATAATATAGTACACGTTAAGTAAAGATGTATTTTTTTTCCCCCCAGGTCCAATAATGCTCATGCGTGTGTAGACTGATTCTGTCTGCATTTCCAACATGCTTTGGAGCTATCAGACTCGGCAGAGCCTTTGGGTCATCAGTGCCTTGTTGGCTAGTGGCAATTTACGATAGGGAAACTGGTGGTGGGAGGGGGGAGTGCTGGCGAGATTTTAGTTTTACTCACACTAAGAAAATTGTTCCAGCAGCAGTCATCCTGAGCTTGTCAAAACAGATTTTGATGCAGGATCAGTTAAATGTCAAAGAAATTATGCATTGTGTCTTTGTTTCTATAAGAATCACTTATCTGAAACAAAAGATTTGGGATTATGCTTTCGATTTCATGATTCATGGTATACCTGTTTAAAGGTACCCTCCTACACAGGATTATTTATTATCGGGGCAGGAGTGTCTGGGAGCCCTATTGCCTTTAGGGTGAAACTATTTATTTGGCAACGGTCTATCCCTAAAGGTGGGGCTCTCAAAATCATTAGGCGCCCACTGAGAAACTTGGTGAGTGTGTACCGGACACTCCTATAATAACTTAAATGAGCTGAAAGGAACAGTATTGGTTACATGTATACTATGACACTATAGTTTAACAGAGCTATTTAGGTCCCCTGCCCTCCTGTCAGAAAAGTAAACAGTGATTTTGTTCCCCTTTTTCCAGTGCTGCGTGGCTCTCCTTGCAGCTGGCCCACCTCCTTGGCTGAAATCATCTAACTTAGTGATCTCAGCCAATCCAGTGCTTTCTTGTAGGAAAGCATTGGGAGGCTGTTACGCATGCATGGTAAAACACTGTGCTGCATCAATCAGCATCTCCTCACAGAGATACATTGAATGAATGCATCTCTATGAGGAACTTTCAGCGTCTCCATGCAGATAATGGAGACGCTCAATGTAGGTACTGCACATGGTGCAGCAATGTACTAGGAAGCATGTTTAGTGGCTGTCTGAGTGACTGCCACTAAAAAGTGGTACTAGCCAGCAATTCAGGCGACAAGTGTCCCTTTAAGGCTTTATGGGGATGGGATATTCCTTTAAGTTTTTTTTAAAAGCTTGATTTGTCTAGTACAGGAAGTGATTGATTTGCAGTGAAAAGAAAGCAAGTGTTAAATTATTGCCCATCTTCCCTGCTTTCGAGAGAGATTTGTATTTTCTATTTTTTTCACATTCTGATTATTTGACGAATACCACAAACGAGGATTACCCAGTGTTTAATATCTCACCATCGGTGCACACTCATTCTCTCGTCTTATTCTGCCTTATAACAGTGTGCCCCTTAACTAATCCATTTCTCCTTTCTCGCATTTTAGCTGATCTGTTAACCTCCCCATTATTCAAATTCATCTTCCCCTCTTTCCCATCATCCATTGTCTCATCTCACCGTCAGTCTCTCTTGCTCCCATTCCCAATGTCCACTCTTTCACATCTCGCCCTGTCTCCTTGTGCTTTTCTTTCTCCAAATCCCATTGTATAAATTCATTGTTCCATCACAGTTGCACTTACCCCCCCCCACCTTATCTCAATTATTTTCCCACATCGACTCATTGAGATAAGACTTGTTTGAGCAGGGCCTTCACGTTATGTACGTGCAAGTCAAGCATGTCCTTTACAATTATTTGTGCATCTCATCCACCCATTGCCCTGTGCTGCAGAACATGTTTGTGCTTTAGAGACTAATAACTTTGATATCACTGCCCCCTATTATATCAGCACCCACTGTTACTGTGCCATCTCTCCTTCCACTGTCCCATGCCATTTCCCCCCTTTTACAACATATGCCCCACTTTAGTTACCCATCTTTTAGTTACCCATCTCCCATTGCCCCCTTAATCCATTTCATACCTCCCTCCCCCCCTTTGAACCAGTCTATTTTTTTTTTTCTCCTTCCCTGTATTAGCAAGCCCCGTTCACAGGATGTGGCTAACGTAAAGCAGTGTTATATTGTAAAAAATATTGTAACACATTTATATGATTCAAGCAAGCGTTTTATTTCTTTTTCTTCCGTCACAAATGTTAACAAACCATAAACATTACAGCTTTATGGAAAACCTGTTTGGTTGCCTGTTTGATTGAAACTTTAATGACCCATTTAAAAAAAATTATTTAATTATCTATTTATACCTGCTACGCAATACATACTTTAAATAGAAGGCGGTTTGTATCGACATTATTGGTCTTCTTACTCCTTCTTGCATCATACTAACTGCAATAGAACTCCCATCACTTGAAATTAGAATTGTGGGACAGGGGGTGGGGTGGGTCGCTTTATGATGGGATCTCGGACGCATGCTGGAGGTATGGTGGCGGGGTTGTGACCAGCCTGTCCCTCTATCGGTCATGTCCAGCCTTCGTATCCTATTGGAGAAATGTCCATGCAGTCATAAAGATGCTGGTAGACACAGTCCAACAGTTTCAGCCTTTGCCTATTCTACATGACCATATCCACTGTGCCTCTATGACTCTATAAGAAATCTCTTACAAAACCTCTATTAACTGCAGCAAAATATCTAACCCACCACTACAAGGAAGAACCGTCTGCATTCACTCTCCAGCAGTGGATGGTTAGGGTAGAAGAAATTCCGATTATGGTATCCCATGACGTGAGTCCTAAAAGGCACATTTGACAAATCTCGTGGTTCTGCAAATTCTGGCCAAGGTGATTTGTTGTGTCCTTGCAAAATTGGGTGTATAGCAACCCTCAACTTCTCACAGGTACAACCCCTTCACCTGAACACAGTTATTTACTTATTTCATATTGGTATGTTATAAGACGCGAACAGGTTGCTGAGATGTACTACAGGACACTAGAGAGAGAGAGAGGGGAATAGATGAGGATGGCAGTGAGAACCACTCCTCATTACATCATAATATGACCCCCACCTTTTTTTTTTCTACCCCCATTGGTCCTGTCCCTTCTACCACCCCACACATTATTTTTGAAAAATTTGTGGTCGATCATTATCCGAAAAACATGCACTGACTGTACTAAATGAAAAACTTTTTTGGTTTGGACAGAAATGAGACAAGTGAGCGTCCCTTGCAGGGCCGGATTAACATAGGGGCTGATGGAGCTGCTGCTCCAGGCCCATGGAATAGGCCCATTTAAAAAAAAAAAAAAATAATAATATATATATATATATATATATATATATATATATAATTTTTTTTTTTTTTATTATTATTATTTTTTTTACACACACTACTCCTAGGTTTGCCACCTGACTGGTATTTTACCGGCACAGACGTTATTTGAGACTGCTTGGCCGGTGCCGCTATTGCAGTAATACCGGCAATACAAATGCAGATATTTTTCTCAGTATAAACGGAGATTACTCCAGCCAGTAGGGGTCACTGTGTGTGGAGAGAGGCAGGGATAGGCCTCTCTCTACTCACAGAGAGAGGCCTCTCTCTACTCACTGATCCGCGGGGGAGTAGCTGCACAGCACAAATAGTCCAGACAACAGCTCCCAGCCTGCAGAAACAGCCTACAGCTCAGGTAAGTGAAGAATGGGGGGAAGGCAGCAGGGAGACATGGGGACACTGAGACACTAGGGGACACCTGGAGACACTGAGACACTTGGGAACACTGGGAAACATGGAGACACTGAAACACTAGGGGACACTGTGAGACATGAGGACGCTGAGACACATAGGGACGCTGTGAGACACATGGACATTGGGAGACACATTGGGACACGGAGACACTAGGGACACAGTGTCTCCATGTCTCCCAGCCAGTGTTCCTAGTGTCTGTGAACCCATGGCTTTCAGTGTCCCCTAGTCTCCCAGTGTCTGTGTCCCCATGTCTCCCAGTGTCCACATATCTCCCAGCCAGTGCCCCTAGTGTCCCCATGTCTCCCAGTATCCCTATGTCTCTCAGCCAGTGTCCCTAGTGTCTGTGTCCCCAGTGTCTGTGTCCCCATGTCTCCCAGTGTACCCATGTCTATGTCCACAAGTGCCCTCATGTCACCCAGTGTCCCTGTGTCTCCATGCCTGTGTCTCCATGCCTCCCAGTCAGTTTCCCCATGTCTCCCAGTGTCCCCTAGTCTCCCAGTGTCTGTGTCCCCATTTCTCCCAGTGTCCCCATTGACTTTCTGCTTCACTGGACACTGCTGTTAGGGGGTATGGATTTACTTGAAAGATGAAAGCATAAATTAGAGAGAGATTAGCATAGAGTATGTGTTTTCTTAAAGCTGCATCCTTTTGAGTTTCCCTCCAACACCATCTCCATCATATACATGACGCTTGAGAGGTATGACTGTTTTAGTGTTTTTGGTCGATAAAACGCAGAACTATGTAACATCTACATAAACAGAACAGAAAATGATAAAACGTAAACTGGTCCTTAGAATGGCCGGACTAATACATTAAAAACAGAGAATGGTCAAGGGATAGCTGAGGTCAAGGAAGCCAGAAATATACAATACCATTTAACAAGCCAAGTCAGGGAAGCCAGAAATCAGAATAGTCAGGAATAGCCGAGGTCAAAATACTGGGAATATCAAAAACCGGACAAGAAAACGCACTCTCGGGAACGGAAACCACGACAGGGCAATAACCTAGGGAACTTTAGGGATTTAAATATCCCTCTTGTCTCTGCCCCAGAACGTGCGTGTGACCCTGGGGGCAGAGCTATATCTGGCCGCGACCGTGTGGTCGGCGCCATCTTGAATCCGGGCAGGCGGCCAGGAGAACCCGGAAGAGTAGCTCCCGACTCGCCGCTGAGCAGGTAAGCTCAGTTCGTTGCGGTGAGCCGGGGGCCATGACAATTCTGTAATTAGGCCCCGTCATAATTGTCAGCACCAGGCCCACTGGGCTCTTAATCTGGCCCTGGTCCCTTGTAAGAATCACTGCTGCTCCTGCGTCTTGCTATAAAATAATATCTACGTATCCATAAATCTTGGCAACCAACTGTAGCCAATGCAAACTGTGGTTTAATTAAATTGTGTATAAACTGTGTGGCCCTTTAAGATCTCAATTGGCGTATTGTCTAGGTGATGTATCATCTAGAATTCCATCTGTATTCGTGATTTATTTATTTATTTTGTGTACATGATCTGTCTCAAACCCAAAATCCAGTTTCGCCATAAATCGGGGTGTATGCCTATTTCAGTCTGACCTACATACTTTCCTATTATGAAAACCAAATATTTTATTTCCTCATGTCCCCTTTCCGTCTATTAAGCAACTGCCACAGATTATGACATTAGACAGATATACTTTTATCAGGTCAATCTAATACAGCATTACATTTTATGTTTCTAAAGGGCTGCATGCTATAGTCCTCAAATGATACATTGCTCACGGTGTGACCACCAATAAAATGAAGCGCTGACGCAGTTTTATGTGCGATTTGATACATATTTATAAATTTACATGTTGGTGTGATGGACAGAATCCACGGGGTAAAGTTTGTTTGAGGAGTGCCCTCTTCACCTTTACCCTGTTTGTGTTTTATGTCACCATTGATCAGCGCTGAGGAATATGTTGATGCTATATAAATAAGTGTTTTGTCAGAGTTACAAGAATTGATACTCCTTAGCCAGGGCTGGCTAGGTGGTTACCAAAGCATCCACAGCGCATGTGCTGTGGTTGCTATCAGTGGAGAGCAGAGGGACCTCCTGTGGGTGGCCTCTTCTGCTCCCCCTGTCTCCAAATTCCTCGGCATTTAGTGTCTGACGAGAAATTAAAAGAGCGATGGGAGTAAAATCTATTTTTAGCATAATGTATAAAAGGAATTTTAAACTCTTTTCAAAGTGCTAAAGTTACAGATTTGATTAGTTTCCCTTTAATTAGATGCTAAATAAAAGATCCCCTTTTATAGTGGTAAAGTTTTTCTAAGTTAAAGGAACACTATAGGGTAAGAAATAAACGTGTAATCCTGCACCTATAGTGTTAAAAATATGGTGGGACCCTTTGACCCCCATAAATAGGGTTAAACTTACCTTTTATTTATATCACTGCGTGGTCCGCTTTGTGCAGCATTGCCCCAGGAAGCACCTTTAGTGGCCGTCTGAATGACTCTGAAAAGGCAGAGTTTACATTAAAATGCCTGCAGGGACAGACTATACACACCAGAACACTATATTAAGCTGTGGTTGTTATGGTGACTATATTGTGCCTTTAAAGAAAGTTTGGCATTTTTGTAAAAAATGTTTTTTTTTTTTTTTTGGTTTTTTTGTACATTGCCTAGGGAATGGAAAATTGTTGAATTTCAAACTAAATTGCAAGAATGTTTCCATTGCAGGTATATATATGGTCATTGAATAGTTTTACGCATTTGTTTTTCAGTTAACTGCAATTCACATATAGACAGTTATTAATCGAACTCAGAATTGTTGCTAATTTTAATTAGAAATTTCAAAACCTGGGCAAATTTTCGAACTACATTGTAGTCCCTGCTTGGCTAGTTTACTAAAGTCCGATTTCAAAGTGAATTTAAAATTTAAGATCAAAATAGCCGAACTGGAAAAATTATCCAATTCAGCTATGCTTCCGGTTTGGCTACTCTGGCCTTAAATTTGAAATCCCACTTTGAATTCGCTAGTAAATAACCCCATAAATATTAATATAATTCAAAGTTTAGTGAACTCACCACGTTCAGGTCATAGTTGGTGAACTACATTGCTGCTGACAGTAGAGGGCACTCATGCACAGAGTACTATGTATGTGCTGGCTGTTAATACACATATACAGCAGACATACTTCTAGCTATTATAAATTAAATAACATTGTTTAAGGGAAAGCAAGAGTCTGCCAGGATTGAGGCAGTGAATATGAAGTCACCCCACCACCCCACACACACACATTGTTCAGATTTAGACAAACTGGATTATTATTATTATTTTATTATTTATATAGCACCAACAAATTCCATAGCGCTGTACAATGGGTGGACTAATAGACACATAATTGAGATCAGACCACTGGACGTACAGGAACAGAGGGGGTTGAGGGCCCTGCTTGATGAGCTTACATGCTAGAGGGAGTGGGGTATAGTGACACAAAGGGTTAAAGTAGGGGACTTACATAGTTTGTTAGAGAAGGGTTTATTGACTGCTTGGTAGGTCATTTTTGAAAGTTGCAGGAAAGGAGTCATGGGGTGGGGGATGAGAAACCTGCTGACAGTTTAATTGATACGCTTTAATGAAGAAGTGAGTTTTCAAAGATTTTTTGAAGGAGTGGAGGCTGGGTGAAAGTCTGATTGAGGAGGGAAGGGAGTTCCACAGAATAGGTGCAGCCCTGGAGAAGTCTTGAAGGCGAGCATCACAGGTGGGGAACCGGGCAGAGCATAGGCGTAGGTCTTGGGCTGAGCGCAGGGGTCTCGACGGGACATACAGGCAAAAGAGATGAGAGCATCACTTGCAACTTAAATAGCCCAGGGCTAGCGAAAAATAACTTTAGCTTTTGCAAAATATGTTTATATGAATAGGGAAAGCCATTTTGTGTCTTTAACCCCTTAAGGACACATGACGGAAATATTCCGTCATGATTACCTTTTATTCCAGAAGTTGTGTCCTTAAGGGGTTAAAAAAAAAATAAAAAATTTTTCCTTTGCTTTTTAAGTTTCGCTGATACACTGGCTTCATTGCCAGCATGCCGATGTCTGAATGGAGTTACGTCGTGTCACTCCATTCCCATACTACTTAGCCAGCGCTGTCTAGGGTGTTACCAAAGCAACCACAGTGCATGTGCTGGGTTGCTATTGGTGGAGAGCAGAGGGACCTCCTGTGGGAGGCCTCTTCTGCTCCCCCTGTCTCCCAATTCCTTGGCATTTTGTGTAGTAGAGATTTTTTTCAATTTTTTTAATAGCCAAAAAGAAAATTCTGGTGGAGTAAAATCCACATTACAAAATATAGAATAATAAAAAGATATTAGTGGTAAATAGGATGATTTAAATAATAAATCTCGACTATATTCATTGAGTTTGGACTGAAGTTTGCAATTCAGTTTTCAGTTCCCTACAGGTTACATTTTAGTGTTTGTGTGTAGTCTTGTGTGGAGACCAGTTATGTGGTTCCACAAGGTACCTGTGAGGAGCAGTCCAGTGTGTTGATGTGTTGCGTGGAGACTTATTTAGTGTGTATATTGCAGGTGATACTCAGTTACATAATTCTGGGTGGGACAGCAAGAGGACAGTGTGTCCCTGCGTGATCTTCACACCCAAAATAGTACAACATTCTCTATTGTAGTATGACACAACTCACACAGATATACATCTGTCTGTAGACACAATAAGAATTTGGTATATGTGAGCGTAGAAATACGCAAACACACCTATGACGAAGTCGTCTCAAATTTGTAAACTAAGTTGTTTCTCCGGTATGTCTTAGTCCCCCCTTCAGGCATATGTCCTCCCTCCAAGGCCCACTACAATGAGTGGCTGTCATGTTCCTAATATATGTCTCACATTTCAGAGTGTCTTTGTCTGTCTGTCTCTCTGCCTCCCACTCACTCCTGTAAGTAGCTTCTTTTTTTTTCCCCTCTGTAATCTTTCGCTCTGTCGCAGATAGGTGGATTTCAATATCTCCTTCAATCTTTAGTCCTCCCTCTCTGAGTCATTGCTCACTGATAGATCTCCCTCCTATAAGATTTCAGACACAGTCTCTACCTCCCAGAGCTGAACTGGTTTTCTTTCCTTCTCGTTTTCCAACCTCTCTTTCATGTTAATTCATCTCTACGTATCGTTGGACTATTGGTGTGCTAATGGAAGTCCTTTTTCTCCCAAGGACCAAGTTGGTTGGCTGGAGAGACACCATTCGCAAAATGGCTGGGGACCCCATCAAATCCACAGAATCCTATATGGATCTCCATTTCCAATGTAAGTTTATTTTTTTTATTATTGGCAAATAATCTCTGAGAACTTACACTCATTATAAATATAAAAGGTGAAATAACGGTCTCTGTGGAAGAGCTCTTTAAATGCAGCTGGAAGCACTCAATGAAGTGGATCGAAGAGATCATTGTGTGTGTGTGCGTGCGTGTGTGTGTGTGTGTGTGTGTATATATATGTATGTATATGTATATATAGAGAGAGAGAGAGAGAATGGAAAGTGAAATCATTGTATATCCAGTTTGATGCTACATTAAGGCCGTGAAACATTATTGGGGAGACTTATCAAAGTGTTCCATTGTGAGAAGGTGCAGTGGCCACTAGAATGCTCCTGTTGTTTCCATGGTGATTGCTCACAATCACACTTTGGTACATCTTCACTAAAATTCAGGAAATGGAGAACTTGGCCCCACTACCGTTTCAGTTTGCCCGGCCCGTCTTGTAAGGGAAAGGCAAAAGGAGAGGGATTATTTACCTGTTCGACCTTGTATGATAATTTAAATATAATTGTTTGCAGTGACATCTTTACAAAACAATGTACCTTAAAAAAAAAAAAAAAGAGCCTGTGCTTAATAATGAAATATAGTGTAATTATCTCTTTTCATTTTGTAAGTATTGATGTTTCGTGTAAGCTTATATTTCTATGATGAAATTTGAGGCACCCTATAAAGAGATTGGAAGATTGAACGCAAAAAAAAAAAGAATGATCTCGGTGTATCCCTGATTGGGTTTAATTAAGAAGTGTCTAATTGCACCTAATCACCGCTAGTTATGATAATAGCTATCACCCTTTCTCTGACTAAGCACTAGTGACACGTGATAAGTCAGATGTCACCTTAAGATCCTGTCTATCCATTTGCCCATATCCTTTATGTTCACTTATAGTGTCTCAGTCTCACAATCTGTATAATCGGGTGGTAGGGAGTTTAGGAAATGAATGCCTAGCTTTATATCGTTTTTAGTGTAACATTTAATGTGCAACACAACTGTTTGATTTTGTAGCCTAACTGTCACGTCTGTTTTATTTGTTTGTTTTTTCACAACCCAATAACTGTGGATTGTGCTGCTTTTTAAAAAAACAAACAAATAACTTCTAATTTACTTTGTAAGCTTGGCCCTCCTGGACATCCAAATTAATTTAGAGGGTTACTCCACGCACCATGACCACATCACTGATTTGAAGTGGTCATGGTGCCGGGAGTCTATATGTTCTGCATATACAAAGTATTTCTATGCACAGAGGGGCATTCATGAGAGTGATTAGTTGATGCCATCAGGCATCTGATTTCTGCAGCTCTGCTGAAGCCAAATTCCATAAGGCTGCTTCAGTGGAGAAACCATTGTAAAACAGTTTGCCCCTTACCGGGGAATGGTGCCAGGATACTCCTAGCATCAGCAGGCTGTAGTGGTTATGGTGGTTGGAGTAACTCTTTAACCCTAAAGTTGCTATGTGTACATGTGCCACTATGGAGGCAATGCCCAAGGACACGTGTTGGCATAGAATGGGCACACCTGTAACATCACAAGGCAGTGCTATTGCCCTGGGCACAGACATATGGTGGAGGTTTGTTTATTTTTGAAAACCATGTGTTGCTCTACTCCCCTTATGAAATGCTTTAGTTCCAAAGAAGTGACTATTAGTTTGATTTCATACAAGTACAATCTGTTTTCTTGCAGACAACATGAATTTGCATAGGGTGTAGTATACAGAGCCTGGCTACAATCTAGACCTCTTAGGATGCTGCAAATCTCAAAATGGGACAAGAGAAGATCAAAGACAAGTTAAATGGGGAAAAAATTAAAATAGACAAATACAGTGAGACAAGGTACATACTCAGTGTCTCAGCTATCTGGGAACAGAGACACCTCCAGGCAATGCAAACAGAGCAGACCGCAGATTAAAGAGTAAGCACATGTGTGGACAGAGCTCTAGACGGTATGTCAGGAAGCCAGGGGATTAAAGAGACCTTTATGGTACACGATGTCCATTGCACCGATCCTACTTTTTCGTGCTAAGAACAGAAAACAAATGGGCAAAACATATTTTATTTCCAGTATTTATCCACAAAGCACTTTGGGACTGTCCAGTCTTTTTATTATAATTTTTTATAATGTACCTTTAATAAAAACATCTTTTAAACTTCTATAACTCTGTCCGTTCATTGCATATAAATGTACCCCTTCAAAGAAGCTGGGAAGATGGGAAGCGGAAAACAGTTTGCATAGGCCTACGCACCAGGCTACAATATTCAAAGCATGGCACGGATTTAAAGTTGGCATCGACTTAGTACCAATGATTTTAATGAAAAAGGCTGTTTCTAGTAAAGCGCACAGGCTGCTCTGAAATTATTATAACGGCACTGTCACTATTTGGGGACTTGGCAGAATTTGCAGAATTCGACTGTCCACAGTGACATTGCTGTCGGGGTTAGCAGGTAAAGGTGACTTAAACTTAGTTGAACATGTGCCTCGCGGGGCTGTCATCTTCCTCTAGTTGTCCACATCACGCCAGGAGCTGACGTCACTGTTGTTTTCTCGCATATGCGACAGTACCGCATTGTGGTCTATGGAGGAGACCGCAGGATCTTCCATAGACCGAGCCAATTCTTGCAATTCTTACTGGTGTCTAGAAGTGTCAGGAGTAGGAAATATACAGAGACAAAGTAGTCCCTACTTTGTCTCTGTATATCTCTTAAATGGGTTGGAATTTCTGTGAAATTCTATCACAGTCAAAATTTTTATGAAATACTCATTTTTCAGAGGGGAGGGGGTTGGCCGTGCCACTTTAAATATGTTACTTACCTGCAAGAAAGGCTGGTAATCCACCCTTATATAATGTTGTTGTATAGTTGCTATTGATTTTGTAAAATAAAGGATCAATCTCGGTCCACAAACCCAATTCTGCTTCTATTGTATTCATCAGTGTTAATTTTTTAATAAGTGAAATAGATGAAGGCTTATATTTGTTTATTTATTTATTTATTTTGCAGCTCTGGCCGCTAAGGAACTAAATAACAAGCAAATGGAATTGGACTCTGCTACAGCAAAACTGGATCAGCTTAAACGGGAGCTAGAAACGCGTCGGGAATCTGGACAGCCTCGAAAAGCAGAGGTAGATAAGGGCATGTGAACACCTTCTGAATGTATTTATTAAAATAAGGAGGTCCTTGAGAAATTGGGTCCATTGGGCTAAAATAGAATTCTGTAAGACTGAAAAGTCCTATTAAATTCATACACACTTATGAAAGCGCATGTACAACTGTTGAGTACGTCTTTCGAGGCCCTCGGTGCTAGTCGTGTTTTGTCTTAAGATGTGCTATATGTAAGTTGGTCTTGCAATTCACTAGATTTTTGTTTTAAGTGTTTTAACTTGCCATTTGCTGGATATATGCAGAATTATGTTTGATACACTTATTTAAAATGTAGCGCCGATCCACCAGTCTCTATTCCTCGACTTTACAAGTTGGAAATGAGAATTCAAGGTTAATTTAACTTTTAAATCTATGGTCAAAATAGCTGGTCTAAGCAGAACAACTCTGGCCTTAAATTTTTAATTCACCTCAAATTCTCATTTTAGTAAATAACCCTGTTAGTGTTAAAACAAAAACAAAAAAAGGCTCTTTTTATGAGGGAAATATTCCTTAAAATAAACCAGTTTATTGACATGCAGATCCCAAATCCGTCTAAAATATGTCATTAAAGTTTTGCCGTTGACATTAAAAACTGATAATCGCTCAGGAGTTGCTTGAAGTTACTTGTTCGTTTAGCTTTCGGCAATGGAAATCAGAGGAGCAAATCAGATATATTTTTAGTAAAGTATGAAATGCAGCAGGAGTAGTAACATCCTAAATCCCCAGATATTATAGAACTAAACCTCGCATGATGCTTTGCATTACTTACTTTTTAAAAGTTTATTACTTTTAATGATATTAAGGATTTTTTAAAAACAATGTATATTGATAGTGATTTTTTTTGATCAAAAATATTAATCATTAAAAAAAAAAAAAACGAAATTCATTAAACTTACAAAAATAATTAAACGCGCATTAATATATCTAACACATTGAGTTAAAATAACAGTTTGTGCGAGCAAACCAATCTGGTGTTGAAGTTTATTATTCCACAATGGAATTTCTAAAGCATCAGTAAGTTCTGTGGTGGTTCTTTAGACCAGAGTGTGAGGATGATAAGTCTTTGGTCTTAAGAGTTTTAAATCGGATGGAATTTTATCATTTCTTGTTTCCAAAAACCTCTATGATTGTCCTGTCTCTTGATGCCAAACCAAGTCAGCTTTGTTCTCAAGTCTGTTAAAGATGATTTGCAGAGTTTGAGTGGATTTCCAAATGTTCTGTTTTTAAATGAGAAACTGTACTCGTGTTATATGTTGTAATCTGCGATGGCAGTAAAATTCATGACTAACGTTTTATTTTTTTTCCTTTTCTCCCCAGAACTTGGAAATTCCTCAGAATCCTAATCCCACAATCTCTCCCTCCTTGACACGACGGTCTGTGCCTCCTCAACCCCCCCCTACATTTGGCCCAGCACCTACTCTGCTTACCCATAGGCCCCGTCCGCAAGAGTCCATGGGCCCCATAGTTGCACCGCTTTCTGTCAGTAGTAAACATTCAGTTCCCTCTCCCCCCATTACTCGCCGGTCCCTCGCATCAGAGACTTTTGACTCCTATGCTCCTCCAACTACATTAGGCTCATCCTCTTCTTTGATTAGCCACAGGCCACGTTCAGTGGAGTCCTCTCTTTCTGCTCCTATAATTCCTCCTCTATCTATTAGCAGTAGTCATTCAGTTCCCTCTCCACCCCTTATCCGTCGTTCCGCGACTTCAGATAATTTTGACTCCTACCATACTTCATCCTCCTCCTCCCGTGGCTCTCGTGGTCTCCCTTTATCTCCTCGTCTCCCGTACTATGAACGGGGACCCAGGAGTCTATCATCCAGTACCTTTGATTATGCCAGAACAGGGACACCTCCCCCGGATGGTTCCTCCTCTGGAATGTATACAGACAGGGGCCCCTCTCAGAGGCCGCCCATATCCTTTGAAGGACCCCAAGGATTTGCTCCAGTCAGGTTCTCAGGTGAATGCAGTTAATTATATATATTGCGTCTAATCCCATACTATCAGTCTATTGAATACAACCTACAGAATTCTGGTTGAAATGTGTATTCGTATATGTGACTTTTTATTTGCCTCCTTCCATCAGATGATGTTACATCTCTTCGCCGCCGTCCTCCGCAACGCAGCTGGAATGAATCAGATCTGGATATGTCCTATGACAAAAAGGCTCCTCCAGAGAGTAAGTTGCCACCTGGTAGAATGGAAGGATAATGGGGTAGGATCTCACCACTTGAACAATTCTGATAAATTTAGCACCCTTGTTTTGTCTCACTTAGGGGTAGAACGTGCACCGATGAGTGCAGTGCCTCTGGTAAAAGCCTGGAGAGAAAGTAGCTTGGACCCAGCACCAGCTAAGGGAAAGGTAAGTCTTTTAAAGTTTTTTTTGACCGTAAGAGTGAAGTGACAATATTTTATTTTTATTTTTAAAAGGAACGGCTGCTTATTGAGTTTTTTTTACTTTTGCGAAACGGCAATGTTTACATTACAGGGTTAGGTCCACCTTTAGCTGTTGTCATACTGAAAACCACTAGAGGCGCTTCCGCATAAAAATGTCATGTAGCGCGGAAGCCCCCATAGTAAAGCATTGATTCAATGCTTTCCTATGGGGAAACTTAGATGCACTTGGAACTCATACACATTAGATCCCTAGTGCTCCACTATGATGAGCATTGGATTAGACCACGCCAGAGGAGGCGATGCCACCCTGATGTACAGCCAAGCGAGCCTCGAAGTTGGAAAAAGGTAATTAATCTTTTCTGGCTTGGGGCGGTTCTTGGCACAACTTTATACAGAATGATAACAAAGCCATGGTTAATTTTAATAAAGATAATAAAAAAAACAACAAACTAACAATAGGTTAGTACCTCCTTACTGAATATACTCGGCAAAAATAACCTTTTCTGGGCGTTTAGCCAAACGAGAATATGGGAGGCACAGGAGGCCTCCATATCTAGGTTTTCTTAAGACCACACTTCGAGGACAAGATATACTGTAAGTAAAACAAGCCTTTAACACCGAGAAAAAAGAACTGTGACACAAATAATGAGAAGAAAGGGAGTCGGCAAAAACAACTGTGTGTTGTAGCCAAAAGATGATTTAGTGTTCCAAGGAACTTTAACCAGCCTTAAATTACTTTACCAAACGTATTGATAAATATACACTGCTCGTTGGCTTCTGAAACAAAAGAAAATCTAATTATCACATTTTAATCTAGAAAGTTCTAGTGACAAAATTAAGTGTCTGATTAGATTTACCACCGTTTTACCATTAGTTTTACAGCAAGCTTGATACCTCTAGCTAAAATGGTTGCAAATAAATCTCTGCACTTATATACTTAACTAATGTGATAATTAAAATGATGGTGTTTACCAAATGATATGATATAGAGTTTAGTTCTTGGCTATTTCTATTGTTGTTTTTATAATCAACTTGCTATTCTTTTAATAAGTCATTGTTACTCTGTGTTTTCTTTAAACTAGGGTGACGTCTCTGCCACACTGCCCCGTGGTTATAAGTTCTCTGCAGGAGCTGAACGTGGCCCCCAATTGTCAGACTCAGGATGGAGGTCCGGGTCTGGGTCCTTGCCTCGACCATTGCCACCTCAGCAGCCAATCTCCCGCATTCCTGTTCCGCCTCCTGTTGGAAAAGTCCAACCACATAGACCTCTTCCTTTGTCTATGATCTTCCATTTACAGAATGCATTCTGGGAACACCAGGCCCCTCCTCCTGCACAGATCATGCCCAATTTTTATGCCACTCCAGCAATGACCACAAACCTTCCACCAGCTGTACCTGTTGTTCAAGATATGCCCATTCCTTCTACTAATGCAGTGGCTCCATCTTCTACTGAAGAGGTTCCTCGCCCTCTCAGTCCCACTAGACTTCAACCTAACCTCCCACCTTCACTGGCTGACGTTCAGAGAGTACTAGAGGACATACCCCGTCCTTTGAGGAGGCGTGGCTCCCAGGAACATACTGCTCAGGCCTCGTCATTTCCTTCACACCGCCGTCAGTATCAACAAATCATGAGTCGACTATTTGGGAGAGCTACGCCTAAGACCAGTCCGGTTTCTGAACAATTAAAAACGGAGGAAAAGCTGCAAGGCTCTTCAAGCAAGCAGGGCCCCGCCCCTGCAGAGCAGACATCAGAAGAAAGTAATCCAAGCCTTATCTTCCAAATGAACCCCATCCCAGAGGACGTGAAGGCAGAAGAGAAATTAGAAGAAATAACAAATAAGTCTGCTTCCACCCCTGATGACCCAGTGTGTGTTATTATGGAGGTAGAATCAAGGGTTGGAGCCACAGTCCCAGTGCCAACAGACTATGAATTTCGCGTCCCTCTTGTGATCAGTGAAACCCCTACCCCAGTAAGTTAATGGAAATATGAACGGGGCAGATTTGGGTAGAGAACGGGAGAAAGGGAAAAGATGGACAAATAAGGTAATGATGATTAGTAGATAATCACACATTTCATCATTTTTCTTTTAGGGGCTTCGTTCAGCCTTAAAAGGTAGGGGTTCACCCCTGAAAAGTCGCCCCCGGCGTGCCAGATTGGACCCCCTCATTCTGCTTTTGGATGCTGCTCTTTCTGGCGAACAGGATGTAGTTACTCAAGCTCTGAAAGAGGTAGATATTTTGAACATTGGTGCTTCTCAAAGCAATACTTTAGATCCATGAACGTTCCAGAGTTTACTGGTGTTACGAAATAGAATTAACTTTCAAAGCACACCTCCACAAAGCAGAGTAAAACCACTTTAGAGGAGGGTTGGTGGGTTGCAGGTTTTTTGTGCCAGTTGCTATTCAACAAGCAAACATCAAACAGGGGTAAGGACTTCTGTTACGTTTTAATGATTTTAAATGAGGAAAAAAATTATTTGATGGATTATTAGGATACCCGTGAGGGACAAACATGTTCAACTTGATTTTCACGTACTATTTTAAAAGTAATCAAACCTCCCCTCCAGCTACTGGGAAATCGAGACAAATAACAGCTGTTAAGCGGAGGTAGGACAAGTCTGGATTAGGCAGTTTAGGTTTGCCTCCTTTACTGCAGACTTCACCCCCTAGCTAAAAATAATAGATATAAATAAAATACATGTCTATAATTGCATGCATACCTAAAGCGAAAATAAACATTAAATCAAAGAAAAAAAACAGCTATATATTGACTGTATATTTTAAAGTGAAGGCTGCTTGATGGAGCCAAGACAGAGAAACTGGATTTCAATGTTTCTTATGGGTCTGGGCTTTGTGTATTTCAGTCTGTTCTAGTTCGTGTTTTGCCTTTTTGCTACTTGCTGTAATAGTTTAACAGGTCGAGTCTTTTTGAGCTTCTTCCTGTACTATGGAAATTGGACAACGGAGAATTCTCATAGAGTTTGATGAGGCTTTATTCATGTGATATATGGTGTCTCCATGTACTTTTTGGTCAGCATGACCTTCAGCAAAGATATACAGTTAGCAGAATAACATTTATGAAAGTGAAAACTGTAGAAGTTGTTTCATCTTTAAAGAGCCACTTTCCTTCATCTTTACCTCCCAGGAGTGCTGTATCTGCACTGGTTTTGAACACTTTGTAACCATTGCCCTCTAATCCACTTGTACCAGGTTAGCGACCCAAGTCAGCCCAATGAGGAGGGGATCACGGCTCTTCACAATGCTATATGTGGCGCCAATTACAACATCGTTAGCCTGCTCATTAGCAGCGGAGCCAACGTCAATGCAGCGGATAGTCATGGATGGTAAGAGTGATTAACAAGGTTGGGAGCCTGACAGACAGAAGGGACATTGTGTAATAATGTTTTATTCTTCCCTAGGACACCATTGCATTGTGCAGCTTCCTGTAACGACCAAAAAATATGCAATATATTGGTACGTCACGGAGCGGCCATCTTCGCTACTACTCACAGTGATGGCAGTCTACCTGTGGACAAATGTGATCCCTACAGGGAAGGATACAAAGAGTGTCTTACCTACCTAACAGGTAATAATCTTTCTTCTCCCGTGTGTCTACTTACCCACCACTGCCTACACTGTTAGCCATTTCAGTCCCAAAGTCTTGCAGTATGTCAATCAGCACCCCCCCGGGTCATTTTGCCTATTTGATGTGTCTGTTATGTGGTTTTCCACTAATTTTCTCCCCTCTCCCCCCATTTTATTCTTGCAGAGGTGGAGCACTGTATGGGAGAGACCCAGAGTGGAGTAGTCTATGCGGTGTGGGATTACACAGCAGAGTTTGCTGATGAGCTATCCCTAAAGGAGGGGGACTCTGTCACTGTCCTGAGGAAAGATGGCGAGAATGGCACGTGGTGGTGGGCGTCATTGTGTGGCCGGGAAGGATACGTCCCACGCAATTACTTTGGGGTAAGTTTCACTTTGTTAAAAATTCTCACCTCTGTCTCATTTGATCCTCCTAATATCAAATATTTTTAGATCACCGTGTACTGTGTGTGCATTGTAACAAAATCCTCGGAATGATAAAGTGATTTTGTGTTTTAACGACTGAAAATGAGATTAGATAAAGGCTCTTTTTAAATTTTAATAATATAAAACTTTTTCTAAATTAACTGTGTATCATCCAAAGGATCTCACTTGAAAATCCTGAACGATATTGGATGTCGACAATTTGAGAAACCTCAATGTGGATTTCTGCTCTGACTTTTCCATATCTTTAATTACAGATGTACCCAAGAGTTCAGCCCCAACGTTCATCTCAGTGAATGACACCCCCGGAAGTCGTGTCGTCAGCTCAGAGAGTTTGTTAACAAATGTGATGAACATCAACACGATGAGAACAAAGTGTCTGCTCTCCTGCCGGTCTCCGTAGTGTATGGTTTTTATATGCAGAAAGTGCTTGTGTATTTTGTGCATTACTGTGAGTGTTTGTATTGTTAATGGAACTGGCTTGCATGCCTCTGCTGTGTGATTGATACCCTGGCACACTGTGTGTGCCAGTTGTGTGAAGCCTCTTACTGGTTTCTTTAGTGTGAAAGTGCTGTGTGTCTGTTGTGTTGTTATAGAGGATTGTAGCAAGGCAGTGAATATGTAGTAGCATAGCTGCAAACCTTTTTTTCTCTTTGTATAAAAAATATTTTGTAATAAAATCTAGCTGATAAAAAATGGTGGTCTCATTACAAACAAAACTAAAAAATGTTCTGGAATGATGGTGTGTATGTAATGCTAAGCCAAATCAATTATTCTGAGATTACACCTGTTATTATTAAAAAGGACTTCTATATCTATAGTCACAAGAGCAACTGCAGCTAAATGTGGTGAGTATAGTCAGTAAATGCAGTGTTTACATTACAGCCTAGGAATAACTCCAGTGGCCACTCCTCAAATGGCTGCTAGAGGTGCTTCCTGGGGCAGTGTTACACAGTGTGACTGGCATTCAGCGTCTCCGCCCTCTACATGCAGACACTGAACTTTCCTCATAGAGATGCATTGATTCAATGCAACTCTATGAGGAGATGCCGATTGGCCTGGCTGGCGTATGGCCCCACCCGCATCCCACTTCCTTAATAATCTATGGAAAAGCATTGGATAGGATACGATCATCAATTCTGATAATGTCAGCCAAAGAGGCAGACAGGTTAAGGACAGCGCTGGCGGACACACGTGGCGCTGGAAAAAAGGTAAGTTTTAACCCTTTCTAAGGGGACTTGGAGGAGGCAAGCAACCTAAATGGTGATTTTAACACCATAGGGTCAGGAATACATGTTTGTGTTCCTGACTCTATAGTGTTCCTTTAAATAAGTATATATTGACTACAGGGTATTTTTATTTTATATTTTTGCAGTACAGAAGTTAGATACAAACAAACCTGAGGTACCCCGTGGCATTCCTCATGCGTCATATTATGCTTTACAATTGGGGTGATAGCGTAGACTTGCACAATTTTGTTGTATAGTAAACATGAGTAAACCGGCTATGATTTAAAGTAGATTCTGTTAGCAGGATTATCAATGGAGTGTAGGCAAGTATAAAGCACATAGATTACAGCGGTTTGCTAGTGTTTAAGCATTGTTTGGGGACTTCAGCTATGTGTCAGGAATTAAGCCGTTTGGACGAGCCTATGCGTCACAGCTAGCGGGGTTAACCCCTGGAGCGCCCCACTGGAGCATGTAATGTGTACCAATGAAAGCATGCAACCAAAGATCAATAAAATCATAAAACTAAAACAACAAAATTAGCTATGGCGTGTAATTAACAGCAACATCAGCCTGGGTGCAGTCGGGCTTTATATAGTAAAATGTCCCTGGGAGGTGTAGGTGATGTGCTCGGGACAGCAGGGTGGCATCAGCCAATGACCCGGCTCGGTATAACAAGCAAGTCTCTGGAGGCTACTAGAAGCACCTGGAGGTAAGCCAGAGGCATTTCTGGGCCAGGGTCACCTGTGGCCTCTCCCCGGGCTTTGTTGAGTGCCTGCATCTTCATTCCCCGGACTAGGCATCTCTCTTTCAGAGCCAAGTCCTTCCTCTCCGGGAGGTGACAGAAGTTCTGGGTGTTCGGTCGTCGCTTGTGGGGTCTACGCTTCTGCTTCTGTGGGGGATCTTGGGGATAAGATCCCTATTGGCTCTCTGCCCAGGTGGGCTTAATGTATGAGACTTGGATGCTTGGTAGGAGGTTGTGCCTGACAAGGCCTCATGTAACCTAGCTCTCGCTCGCCCCCGCCTGCTCCTCTGACCTCCTTGTGTTGCTGCTGCACGTACCTTCAATCTCTCCCAGAAACGGGCGAAAATCTCGTCTATGTGCTTTAACATGTGATCTAGCGTGGTGCACCAGTCTGGCTTGTTCGGTTGCTGCCGCATGTGTCTTGGATAGGGCGCGTCCACCATTTGGAGAAGTAGTGCTGGAGTGTAGCGTCTTGTGATCTCAGCTGACTGTTGTCGGCAAGATGAGTGCGACTGCTCGGGGGGGACAGGGATGGAGGGGGGGAGTTGACTCACCGGGGTCCCAGCATCTGTTTAAGTGCCTGGAGAGCGGCCACCTCTCCGTGACGTGTAGGTTGCAAGCCTCGGATTGTCATTTTGACATCGCTGGAGCACGAGAGAGGTACCGTTGGATGCAGCAACCTCTCCCGGTTGTGATTTTCATGGGCTGCGGTCTGTGTGCGCCAATTTCCGGGTAGAGCACCCCAGATTTGTCACTAGATGTAGGAGATAATGCTGAACACATCTGGGCTGCTTGGTTGCTCGTCTCCACCCCGACTACAGGGTATTTTTAATACTGAAGAAAAAAAAATATCAAACCATTAATAAATATCAGATTTCCTTACAAAGAGAATATTCTTACTATCCAGCTGCTATGATATTTATGTCCATATGTTCTCTACAATCACCAAGTAGTATGGAAGAATTGGTGGCGAAATGAATGCTACAAAAACTCAATTTATCTTAAGATTGAGACTTATCCCTTTAATAAAATGGTAATGGTGAAATAACTGGTGGATGCTTGGGCTATTTAATCAGATTCATTGTGATTTTGCTGTTGCTCATGTAACTTTGTAAATAATTATAGGGTATAACTCTGTTCGATCTAAAATTAGGTATTGGAAGCCCTGCAGGCCTCACTGTTGAAACATGATCAAATGCAGGAGAGTTAAAGGGACATATATTAAAGATGTAATTATCAGGCTTATCCGTAGATGCGGGAGTTTGTGGGGAAGTGTCTTGATCATCTGAACGCAAAAATAATTAAAGAATAGGTAAATGGTACATGATAGTACTATAGTTTAGTTTATCAAGCGAAACGTTAATGATTTGAATATCCACATTTGAACTGATAAAGAGGCCTGCTCAACATCGAAATCTGCAATGCTAACAAACCGTTTATAGACTGTGGTACCATGAAACTACTGGAGTGGGAGCATGTCTGTGCTACGGTGCTCTTGTGGGAGACTGGCAGTGCTCAGAAAGAAGGAAATCCTGTTGACCGATATTTCTGCACCATCAAGTTGGCCCGGAACACCGCAATAACTCTTTTGTGTGGTCAGGATTGTCCTACCTTGGTATCATGTATGGCAGATATGATAAGGTTTTTGAGGGGGTTTTCTCTGGTGCCCAGCGGGGACCCAGGTAAGGGGTTAAAACACTGCATTACAGTTTGCCACATAAGTGGACCCAGGCCAGGGAATTCCTGACACCATAACCACTACAGCAGGTATTACTTAAAGTAACCTGTTAATGAATAAATCTGTTTGGATTTTCAGGAATTGTTATTCTGTATAAGTCAGCATTCTACGTATGAAAGTCTCAATCCTCACTATGAATATCCTTTAACTATTATGGAAATCGTATTTACCCAACCAGTTCATACTAGGACTTCCCTTACTGATTGTCTCTGATTTCTATGTAACGTGACATTTATTATTAAGCCATTCTTCATTAATTGCAAGGTGATTTACATTTGTCCGGCACTAGATTTTCTTGTAGAACCGGACCGACACCTCCTGTCATATACCAGTTATCAATGATGAAGTCTACATTAATTAAGATAATTAGAATCTAGTAGGCTCACGTGGAAGTATGTAATGAAAAATTGGCTCTACTCCGTTGTAGTTACTTTATAAATTCGTAATAAACTATCCCTGATTCTCTACGGTTACTGGAGATTATCACACACTCTCGCTCTGGGGTTGGCAACCTATTGCACTGAGCTGAACTGCAAAAATTTAAGGTAAAATAGCCAACCGGTGACTGTAGCAAAGTGAGAATTGTTGGGAATTCAAAGTAAAGTTTACATTTATGGTTAAAAAGAAAAAAAGATCCAAACCTGATGTGTGGCTGATTTTGTATAATGTTTCCAATTCAGCTATTTGGCCATCAATTTGAAATTCACTCTTTAATTTCCTCACTGTGCTCGCTTTAGTAAATAACCCTGACCGTGTACAAAGTAACAAACATGGGCAAAGCGTATATATGTTCACCTCGGGGGTGGGCCTTGACGGCTGGACGCTCCTCACCTGTTTCCTCATATTTGGGGTTTATCGTCTGGGGGCAAATCCCACTGCACCTTCGCTCCACTCTAGCCGTGGAGCTACTGATGATGGAATTCTGTGCAGTTTCAGTGGTGCGGTCTGGGTGGCTCAAGGGACGGGAGAGGTGCCGATCTCTTATCCTGTAGTTGCCCGAGCCCCTGCAGTGCTACACTAGTGCCCTGTGCCCCCCACCCCTCCTTCCTTTGGACCGGTGGGGGTGATCCTGGTCCACTCCTGGGAGGCTACTCAACTGTGGCAGGCCCGGGAGAAAATGGTGGACACCATGTGTTACCCCACTAACAGCAGTGGGATACCCTTCACATCATGTCAAGGCTGGACAACATTTTCAACAACTTCTAGAGAAATCTGGAACATAGAAGACGACAGTCTGCTCAATGGGAGCCTCCGCGTCTTCTTTACAGTCTTGCAGATCTTGCAATGGAGAGGGCCCGAACATGGTGGCAGAGTGGATGGCACCCCCTGTTTATAAACCTGCCGGCACAGAAGCCTGACCTCAGACCACCTAAGCCTGAGTCTCCCTGTTGGGCTGAAGAGCTGCATGGAAATCTGACGGGGCTCTGGATTCAGGGCAGCTTGCAAATGTCTGAACAGGGAGGCCTGCAGTACATAATGAAGGGCACAGGCGGATCTGGGTCATATGGTGGGACTCTTATGGCCTCCTGGCTATTTCTTTCTCTAACAAAGTTTCTGTAAGTTCTCCTGCTGGTCTTCCTACTACTTCCCTGTCCTTAATTCAGTACATCTCCCAATGACTCGTCGGGGTGGGAGGTCGCCGAGGGGTTCCATACAATTGGATAATTGATCTTGTCTAGCACTTTACATTTTTATTTTTTTAATTTGCCGTTTTTCTAGACATGTGTTATGCCCTTATCAGATACTCTAGATTGATTCTGTAAGCATGTCTCAACTCATGATTGTATTTGTCATTGCACTACAAAAAAAATCTATGTCAACTTCAGTACTTGCCAATTCACACAGTATCTCGTGAACGGAGCTCTGATATCAATTCAGACTTTTTTTTTTTTTAAGATGCCAACCTGTAAATATACTTTTGGCTTTTGTAGAAATGAGTCCTCTTTCCAAAGTACTTCAAATTGTAATTTAATATGATCTGTGTGATTACTTAACTTGCCCATAACCCACTGGCTTCAGTCTGAGAGTAGGCAGGAACTCTGGTTTAAAGACAATACACAATAGGTGATTCATCATTTTATGTTAGGATTACAAATATTTACTTTTCTTTCTTCTTTAAGCAGTAATTGTTATTGCTTACGTTCAGATTTATCCCCAGAGGCTAAAAGCAACAAGTAATCCTGCACCGCTCTCTGAGTTGGACCAAATCACTTACTAATTCATTTGTGTTTTCTTTTAATTTTATATTTAATTTTATATTTATTTAATTTTATATGTATAGATGACTTTTTAAAGGGATACATTAAGCACCATATCGTCTAGAGTTTATGGTAGTGTTTGTGGTGCAAGGACGCTGTGGGTGTAACTTTTATATTCAGTTACTATTATTTCAAGCATTTTGACAAAAATCAAGGGATTAGCAAAATCTGTAAGACAGTCCCTTTAACTTGCAATGTTGTCATGGCGATGTCCGGTTTACTCATTACCTGTCCGTGTTTTGTATGATGCAAAGCGCCAGAACAATATGGCCACAATATGGTCTACTTCCAAGAGATAACAACAGTAATAGATGCATGACAGAACTTTTGTTTAGAGCTGGTTAATGTTAACACTGTGCATATTGGCATCTGTGCCAGTCCATGGCGGCATAGTCCCCTCATCCGTGCTGCGCAGAGGAGGATCTGGCTGCAGGGAGAACTTGCTGAAGTACATTTATCTTTTTATTTTTATTCTTTTTTTTTGGTTGACAGGAAAAATTCCACATACATGGCAGACAAGAATACAGTCACAACGCAAAGATAGCCTTTGGGGTACCGTAATTAAGGCTATTGTACAACTTGACAGTATTACATACACTTGTTAATACAGACACTGCGCCGTAACCTCCTTCCCGTCCTCTCCACCGTACAACCCCGGTCAACAGTATTTTTAGTATAACATATCCATTTAACTAATACTGAGATACTCAGGCCAGTGGGCACATTCCTCCCGTACCCAAGCGTATGAGACTCCCCTGCATGGCATTTGTTTTCTGCTGTCTTTAATTACACTGGACCACCTGCTCCAGGAGGAAGGGATCGTAAGACACACGGCAGCGGTAGACTATATAGCTTTCGTGCGTGGTCCCCAGTCCACCTTCCCAGGACACGGGTGCCCATTGCAGGAGTGTTCAACTAGTTACACAATGCTATTCATATACCCTGGCTGGATTACGGCCTGAGTACCCCCTTGGAAATGGGGGGGTACTTTAGAGAAGAGAAGAGATAAAAGATGAGGTAAGTAAAGAGGAGAATAAGGGGGGGGGGGCAGCATCAAAGCCTTGCTAGTTACTCAATGGGCTGCTTTCCCATGGTTCCCAAATTTTCTGGAAGGTTTTCTTCGTGCCCCTAACCCTGGCTGTCAGATCGTCCAGTAAGTGTACCTCTTTATTTCTTTTAATGACCCCTGTTATAGAAGGGGTGTTCTGT